TATTCATTGGAATTCAGAAGATTGAGGGGGGATCTTATAGAAACATATAAAATTATGAAGGGAATAGACAAGATAGAAGTAGAGAGGATGTTTCCACTGGCAGGTGAAGCTAGGACAAGAGGGCATAGCCTCAAGATTAGAGGGAGCAGATTTAGGACTGAATTGAGAAGGAACTTCTTCACCCAGAGGGTTGTTAATCTATGGAATTCCTTGCCCAGTGAAGTAGTTGACGCTACTTCAGTAAACGTTTTTAAAGATAAAGCAGATTTTTTTTTAACAATAAAGGAATTAAGGGATACGGTGAGAACGCGGGTAAGTGGATCTGAGTCCACGAAAAGATCAGCCATGATCTTATTGAATGACGGAGCAGGCTCGAAGGGCCGGACGGCCTACTCCTGCTCCTAGTTCTTATGTTCTTATGATACTCCTCTTCCTCTGGGCACTCTTACATTTTTTGGAAATCTCTCTCTCTCAACTTAAAGTACATTGCTGCAGGTGCATGACCAAGTTACTTCTTGCAATCCCCTTCTAAACACTGTTGTAAGGCACGATACAACCAGGACTGTGACCGGCAAGGGCATCGTAATTAGAGGAAGAGCACCAGTTTAGAACACTGATAGGTCCTGATAATGGTGGGAGTAATCATAAAAATACCTCACACAAAGTGAATTGGTTTACATATGATTATTTCCATTAATTCTTTATACTGCTATATTAATAAATCAGTCTACAAACACTGATTCATGGTGCTATATCATGCCACATGCTGAATAATGATTTAATTTCCTCTTCACTTTAATCAAATGGGTAGATTTCAAAACACAAATGGAACAGACATGATTCAGAAATTCAAATACCTTTGGTGGTGGTGTCAAAATGCAGAAACCCAGTTACGTTTCTTGTTTCTTCTTCCAGGCTCCCCTCTGCATCAACTGGTAGATAAAGATGGGGTGAACGTGAGCCATAAAAATGCAAATCACACAACATTCGTTTACAGCGCTAGGTTGTTGATGAACTATTCAAATCCATCAAAAGAAGAAGGGGGAGGACTCAAATGAGACCACATCACAGGATTGCTTTATCTGAAAAGATCAAAGCTTTCCACCTCAAACCTGCGAGCATTATTAGCTCTTTTTAAGAATGGAGAAAAGCAAAATTCCTTGATTAGAAACTATTTGATTTATCTGCTCTTAGGATGGAGGAAATGAAAAGAGGCCGCTTTCTTGTCATCTTTAGTTCTCTTGAGGTTATTTCCCTGAGTTTTTTATGCAATTGCTTCTCTTGGGAGGCTCAATCAATATCAAGTAAGATAGTGAAGGTGAAAGGTGGTGATGCTTCACAGGCTTCAGGACATTCTGTTGCAAAGCAAAAATATTGCAGATGCTAGAAATCAGAAATAAAAGCAGAAAAGCCTGGAAATATTTAGGTCAGTGTCATTTTGGAAGGAGGCTATTTGGTTTATGGGTCTTTACTGGGTCTCTGTAAAGCCAGCCATTCCTTTTTACCACTCTAACTCAATAGCAAACGTATTTCCTTCAAGGGCCGATTAATTTCCTTTTGAAATGAATAATCTTCTCTGCATCTGATTCTGTCCACAGATTCTGCCAGAGTTCACGTTTCAGGCCATTCAGCTTTCACAACAGCCGCTGACAGAAGGTCATGAACCGAAACACTAACTCTATTTTTCTCTTGTTACATATGCTACCAGGCATGCTGAGCTTTTCCAGCATTTTCTATTTCTTATTTTTCCCCACAATTACTCTTTTTTTGTCTTTATTCTTTCATGGGCTGTGAGAATCACTGGCAAAGAACGAGCCCCAACTGTCCTTGAAATGAGTTGCTTGCTGGACCATTTCAGAGGGCAGTTGAGAGTCCACTACATTGGTGTGGGACTGGGATCATATAGAAGGTAGGCCAGGGAAGGACCAGAGATTCCCTTCCCTAAAGGGTGTCAGTAAACCAGATGGGTTTTTCCAACAACCAGTGATAGTTTCACGGTCACCATTAGAGAAAGTAGTTTTAGATCGAGATTTTATCAACTCAATTCAAATCCCACCACATGCTTCATCGGAGTTAAGGGTTCAAATGTTTTAAAAATAATAAATTCTCAAGATGTGGATTTTTGGAAGTGCTAATATTTACTGCCCCATCCTAGCTGCCTTGACACAACTAAGTGACTTGCTCAACCAATTCAAAGGGCAGATGAAGAGTTAACAACGTTGTCATGCAGGAGTTGCAATGCTTGACATGAAGCAGAATAGTTAAAGAAAGGGCAAGCTCCTTGTGGGAGCTGTAAAACAACACTGCAAACTAGAGAATGTGGCAAACAGGACTGCACAAACATGAATGCTTTACAAACTCATAATTCACAAATCATGGTGCATTTTCTTCCGTTCCAGCTGTTTCCTCTATTTACCACAGACACTAGATCTTGGCTGGAGTAAAATCCCATAGACCCGAACTCCGTGACAGTATCCTCCCCGAAGTAAATCAAGCAGGAACAACTATCGGGGGCCCGTGCAGCATGGTTTGCGTTCACCTTTGCTTTTCCCTTTTCCCTCACACAATACAAGAGGACCAGTTCATAAAGCTCAAAAACTGGATATCTCTGAATTACACTTTCCCCAGAAAACCATATTGTCATGCTTCAATCAAATCAATTATGAATTGCACTTTTTTGAAAGAATACTATTGTTTCTGGAGACCAAACAGAGTCAGTGAATAAGAAAATCAGGGTCAAATGGTAATTCGTAGAGTCAGAGATATACAGCATGGAAACAGACCCTTTAGTTCAATTTGCCCATGCTGACCAGATATCCTAACCTGATCTACTCCATTTGACAGCATTTGGCCAATATCCCTCTAAACTTTTCCTATTCACGTACCAATCCAGATGACTTTTAAATGTTGTAAATGTACCAACTTCTGGCAGCTCATTCCATACACATAGAACCCTCTGCGTGACAAAGATGCCCCTTAGGTCCCTTTAAAGTCTTTCCCCTCTCACTTTAAACATATGCCCTCTAGTTTTGGACTCCCCTATCCTGGGAAAAAAGACCTTTGTCTATTCACCCTATCCATGCCCTTCATGATTTTATAAACCCCTATAAAGGTCACCCCTCACCATTCAGGGAAAATAGCCCTAGCCTTTCCCTATAGCTCAAACCCTCCAACCTCAGCAACATCCTTGTAAATCTTTTCTGAATCCTTTCAAGTTTAACAACATCTTTCCTGCCATGTTGACTATCCTTAATCAGTCCTTGCCTTTCCAAATACCTGTAAATCCTGTCCATCAGAATCTCCTCCAACAACTTACCCATCACTGATGTCAGGAAACTTGTCTGTAGTTCCTTGGCTTTTCCTTACGACCTTTCCTAAAAATGGCACCACTTTAGCCAACCTCTAGCCTTCCATACCTCACCAGTGGTTATTGATGATACAAATATCTCAGCAACGGGCCCATCAATCACTTCCCTGGCTTCCCACACAGTTCTGGCAGACGCTTGATAAAGTCCTGGGGATTTATCCACCTCTGAGTTTTAAGACGTTTGTAATATGGACATTTTTCAAGATATCGCTATTTATTTCTCCAAGTTCTCTAGCTTCCATATCCTTCTCCACTGTAAATACTGACACAAAATACTTGTTTAGTATATCATCTATCTCCCGTGATTCCGCACACAGACGGCCTTGTTGGATCTTTAAGAGGGCCTATTTTCTCCCTAGTTGCTCTTTTGCCCTTAATGTATTTTGCTCTTAATCTCTTTGGATTCTCCTTAATCCTATTTGCCAAAGCTATCTCATACCCCCTTTTTGACATCCTGATTTCTCTCGAATATACTCCTGCTGCCCCTATACTCCGAGGGATTCAATCAATCCCAGCTGTCTAAGAAAGCTTTCACATTCAGTATGTGGATGCAACAACTAGAGAAGGAGCAAAAACTTGACCTTCTCTCGGGAAATAAGGCAGAGAAAGTGACTGAGGTGTCAGTGGGGGAGCACTTTGGGGCTAGTGATCATAATTCTCTTAGTATTAAAACAGTTATGGAAAAGAATAGACCTGATCTAAAAGTTAAAGTTCTAAATCGGGGCAATGCCAATTTTTACAATATTGGACAGGAAACCTCAAAAAGTGAGTGGGAGAAACTAGTCACAGGTAAAAGGGACGGTTTGAAAGTGGAGGCCTTCAAACATGAGATAATGAGAGTCCACAGGCAGCATTCTCCTGTTATTGTGGAGTAACAGAAAAGTTAATAATAAATTTCAAGTTTTATATTCTCAATTATCTGTTACATGCTTCTTCTAACACAGACATTTTATGGGCTTCAGTTGGCACATTCTAAAAAAAAATTCGACCTTTGTATAACTAGGACATTTTTCCTCTCCAGACATCCCCCACAATACACTCTCGAGTCAGGTCAGTTTCACCACCATCACACTGGGAAACCCATTTTATGGACGCCATCAGGTCATGTATCCAACTGGCTTTTCTTCAGCAAGTCATGTAAACTGTTTACCTTGGTGGCACCTCAATCATTTCAAGTGTTTTTCTCCACTCAACAGTCCCAATAAAGATAGGATTCAGATATAATGATTTGAAAGAAACAATCAATTCTTTGCTCCTCCACACTGGTGATAATGAGGTCAATTGTAGACAGACCACTCCTTCCACCAGAAGCAGCCAGTCCCTCCAAGAGAAATAAACACCTCAGCAGAGACAAGGAAATTAATTTAGAGTATCCATATAGCTCACATCAACACAGGTCTTGGATGATCTGTACAGTCCGCAATTTCTTTTTGATTAGGTGAACAGAATATAAACATCCTCAGCATAAAGGCATTATCCCCAAACCAATCATGGAGATCACTCAGAATGGGTTTGAGAGCACCTGGTGGCTCCCTGGTTTGAATGCAGTGAAATTACAATACTCAACAGTGGTTGCGTGTCACTTCAAATTGTCTGGTTTCATGAAACCAAACAGCAATCTCAGTGATCCGCAAACAGGAAGCAGCCAGTGAGAGCAAAATGTCATATTGAGAGGCCTCAAGCAGAAAAGGTTGAAAGGAAGTTTTATAGAGGCAAAATTATGAAGTGTTTTTAAATAGATTAAAATGAGGAGGAAATACTTCCAGTGGCTGGATGGTCAATCCTCCAGTCAGACAGAGTTACTAATTTAAGATAGAACCCAATGGAAAATTTGAACTGATAATTTGGAATGCAATGCTTAAAAGGATGGTAGAAATGGATTCAATAGTAACTTTCAAAAGGAAATCTTAAATATTTAAGACAGACAAAATAGCAGGCTCTGATAATAAGAGAAAGTGGATTAACTGTATGATTCTTTTAAGAGCCAACATAGACAACGATCCAAATGGTTTCTTACTGAGCTGTATGTTTGTGATCCCTGTACACATTCAGGAACACTTACCAGAGTAAGATCGCAGTGGTACATCATCAAGCAGCAGATGGAGGAGGCGCTGCGTGTGAGAACGCTGTCGATTCAAAGATGTCACACGCAGTTCGATCCCAGCAGTCTTCATCAACCATGACATCTGGTTCAAGGCTGAAATTTTATGGCCTGTGGAGAGGAATTCTTTCAGTTTTGAATGAAGTTACAATTTATTTTGACATACAAAGATACCGGTGAAAAGACAGAACACAGGATATTGGATGGAACTGAGAACCAAGTCATAATCAGAACAAGAGGGAATGAAAACAGGTAGAAAAAAAAAGACAGTGGGTCGGGGAACATATCAAGAGGGAAAACACGGACCTTCTAAAACGAAAGGAAATTCAAAAGAGAGAAGAAGGAACAAACTTGACATCATCATCTACCTTTAACTGTAAAGGGAAGATGCTGCAGCTGGGAGAAAAGAAAATCTTGGCTTGTTCTCAAGTATCGCATAGTTGGTCCAGAGGTATCTGAATATGCACACAACTGATAGATCACCTGGAGGAGGAGAAATATTACCACATATTTTTCTTTGAGTGAATGCATGCAGTAATTGTGATTTTCAAAAATCAGGAACAACTCCACAATTCGCTTGTGCAATACTTGCTCAACTCTTCCCTGAATAACACGGACTTGGTGGGATATAGTCCTTGAGGTTAGTTGCCAATTCCTAGGTCATCTGGTGCCATGCATCAACCCATTTAGGGAAAGATAACAAGTCATTCCACTCTGTGCAGGGCATCTAAACGAAATGATAGACTTTTTTTTTGGTGACCATAAATATATGAGCTCAAGAACAGGAGTCACAAGCAACTCATGGGTTTATTTCCTTTGCTCTCTAAGGTTGCTCACACCAACATTGACATAAATTTAGTTTATGATCAAAGGTGGGATTAGGAGGCTTGTTGGTAGTGGGGGCACTGATTAATGGGGTGTTGTAACAGATTTTTTTTCCAACAAGATGCACTTTTATCAGGGCTCTGCAGCATATTTCTGAATTTTGAGCTCAGGAAAACGGCACAACTATAACATACATTTGTAAGGCTCTGGCTTAGCTATAACAGAAGCAATGGTCTGAATTCTGGGCAGTGCACTTGAGAAAAGCCTTAAAGACAGAATAATACACAGAAAATGCTGTCTGAACTATTCACCAAGTACAGGAGCTGACACTCATATTGAATAGATCAAATTCATGTGGATTTAAACAAGGCTGGAAAATTCACATCATTTTTGGCTAGAGAAAGAAATCTCCAAGGTTCTCTCACCATCAATGTCAGTTCTGGGACAAAAAGCTACCTGACTGGACAAGAAAACAAAAAGAAAGCCTCCATGAATGAAGAATAACATTGGTTCTGGTGAACTGAAGTGAGTGTTTAAGGGAAAAAAAAAAATCAAGTAGGACTGCAGTATGGTGTTTTCTAATCATTTTTACATCTACAGGAGAAACCTTCCTGTAAGATCATCGGATATAAGAGTAGAAGTAGGTCACCTGGCCTATCAAATCTCCTGTGCCATTCAATGAGTTCATGGTTGATCTGATGATCCTAAACTCCATTTCCCTGCCTTATTCCTATAACCATTGATGACATTCCTGATTAAAAGGGTGTCCATCTCAGCCTTGAATATACTAATGACCCAGCCTTTTGAAATAAGCAATTCCAGATTGACTACACTGAAAAAAATCCTTCTCACCAGGATGGATGTAAATGCGTAGGCCCTTTCTCTGACATTATATCCTCTCGTCCTAGACTTTCCCAAAAGGGAAAGCAATTTTTAGCATCTACTCTGTAACGGTCCAAGAATTTATATATTTCAATAAAGGTAGCTCTCTCCATCTAAATTCCAACAAGTACAGGCCGAACTTACTCAGCTTCTCCTCATAAGAGGGTCCCTCCATTCCAGGGATTAACCTGGTGAAACAAACAAAACAGAAATTGCTGGAGAAACTCAGCAGGTTTGGCAGAATTTGTGGAGAGAAACCAGAGTAAACATTTTAAGCCCAGCAACGCTTCTTCAGAACTTCAGAAGCTAGTTAGGCCACAACTGGAGTACTGCTTACACATTCTGATCACCACTTAATAAGAAGCATGTGATTGCACTCAAGAGGTTGAAGAGATTTACCACTATGCTGTCTGGCCCGGCAGGTCCAAGTTATGAAGAAATCTTGGATAGGCTGAGATTCTTTTCCTCAGAGCAGTAAAAGTTGAGACAGGTCATCACAGAGGTCTATAAGATTATGAGGGGCATAAACAGGGTGGATGGGAAGGCACTTTTGCCATTAGCAGCAGGGTCAATAACCAGAAGCCACAGATTGCAGGCCAGAGGTAGAAGTTGAAGAGGGGAGGAGCCTGAAAAGGTGCACCAGAAACTCTTGAAACACTCGAGTAGTATTTAGATATTCACTTGCATTGCCATTGCGTCCAGGATTATGGGCGGGATTAGTTTAGTCAAGTTGTTGTCTGGTACAGACATTATGGACTGAATGGTCTCCTCTGCGCTGGCACCTATGACTGCAAGTTATTTATCTCTTTAGGGACTGTAACAATAAAGTCTATGGAGAGGCATGTACTCATCAGAAGAGGAACACAAAGTAATAGGTTTAACAATGTGATCGGTCACCTCTCTCTCAGGATCCCAAATGTTGCAGCTAATATATCCTCTCACTGAAATATTCTAGGAATAGAAATACACCAATCAGCGTTTCGAGCCTGCTCAGCCATTCACAACTAGGCTGATCAGTACCTCAAATCCATTCACCTGTTTTATCTCCACAACCCTTCAATCCTTACGCTACAAAAATCAATCGATCTCAGTGTGGAAACATTATGGCAGTTTGATACAAAATACTTTTCAATGGCAAACAAACAGTCATTAGCAAAGATTAACAAAAACAAAGCAATGCCTCAATTAAACAGATCCAAGTAAACACCAAGTCTTCGTCTAAAATGGGGATGAGGTCAGAAAGTTCATTCCTACCTGATAGCAAAGCTCAGCTAAGTGTGGAGATTCCTTGACTGCAAGAGGTCCATTCCTTCCTTCAGTGCCCTTCTCAAGAATATTTAAAATGGAGTGAAGGCAGGTTCGTGGACAACCAAGAACACCTAATTTATATTAAAAATAAATCCATTTCAACACAAACTACAATACTATCTAATGTTGTTTATAATCATATTGCTGGGGAACAGTAGATTGACTGCAGAGGCAGAGAGCAGCGATTGATGCCACAGAAGGAATGGAAAAACATGTTTGCGAGGGTGTTGTTCTTGACCTGCATCACCATTACAGCATATTATTAAAACATTAATGTCTATATTCATTAGCAAAGCCAAAGCTTTCGTAGGGACAGGAAGATGAAGGCTGTTTAATTATGGTTGTTTGAATTTTTCCAAATGTCTCAGCGAGTGTATTGTACAAGAATTTAAAATATTGAAGATTTCTAAGGTGGAAATGTAGGAAGAAGGTCGTCACAGTTGAAGTTACCTGGATCTTGCAGATTGGTGGCATTCACTGGCTTTCGCAGTTCATAACCCAGTAAATACAATGCCAGGTTGGGAGCTTTCAAGTCTAAGGAGTTGATCAATAAACTCAAGATATGGATTTTGGTGTCGTGTCTGACCTGGGTACTTTTCTTCTCTGCAACAATGCCTGTGATGAGAAAATAGATCTGAACGTCATGTTAACCCAATAACAGAGTACTGTGTACTAGGACAGAGGTTAAAAGGTCACAGCATTGGCAGGAAACTGGGTTCAAAGGACAGTGTAACAGGAATCAAGAAGTGGAATCAGAGACTGGAGTTGAGATATAGCAGAATGAATAGAAAGCCAAGGAACAGCAGGAGACAAGATGGTGGGAGTCAGGAAGGAGAGAGAGCCACAGAGTTGGAAAAGATTATAGCACATTCGGCATAGGTTGCGTTGACTGATGATTAGAGCATGTGTATATGGAATTCTATGTCTAGAACAGCCAACAAATAAAATAAAATAAAATAAAATTCCAAATAAACCATGAGGCAAGTGAACCAAACTAAATTTAAAGATCCTGTGTAGGATACCCATTTAAGTACAAATGATAGCGTAAATCATTTCTTCACAATTTGGAGCTGCACAGCATTGTCAAGCTGAAGCTAAATTACATTTCTTCTCAAAGACATGAGGCTACGATGACCTGCCAATTCCAACAGCAACCCAATTAAAACAAAGTTAACTGGTGCCCTCATATATTGCTTTGAATCTCCACATCACTTTCCCAGAATGGTACATACCAGTGTCAGCCTGAATCATTTCTTCAGCTCCTTCACTGTCCAAGCAGTCCACAAAACCAGACATCAAAGTTTCACTGACAGTCTACATAAAGGGCAAGAGTGAATCATTGTTAGCAGGACCTTTTCTTCGTTATGAATGCACAAGTCTGATGAACAGTTAATATGAATAGATATACAAGTTACAATTTTTATCCTTATGTTGTGGACTTTCATTGACAGGGCATGAAATCTGACAGCTAGCAAAATAGTAATTGTTGGAAATTGTATAACAAAAGAAAATGCTGGCAATATTCAGCGGGTCAAGGAAACTCAGAGGTGAGAGAAACCAAGTTGACATTTCAGGATAGTGATCTTTCATTGGTTGCATCAGCCAGAGTGGAGCATTTCCAACATTTCCTGCTTTCATTCAATTTATGAAACATGGGAAAGCCACTGCATACAGATGTAGAATTCATACATTTTGGTTTGACCATTTGTGAGATGTTTTTCACGTGGACTTTGGAAAATCAGCATGAAGCAATCCCTAGTCAGGTACACCAATGGTTCGATGCAAAGTACTCTCAAGAAAGGTACAGAACAAACTCAACACAACAAAAGCTAACATTGGCATAGTATCCTCAACATACCAAAGTGTCCCCATTTATCAACAAAATCAGTGAGTTATGAATAAAAATCTTAAAACATACTATGAAAGAAACACAAAAACAATTCAGCAAAAGAGATTTAAGCAAAGGTAGGTAACTAGGATTAGGTGCTGAGGGATGAAATTCCAGACTTGAAGGTGAATGCAACTAAAAACATGGCTGCATTAGGAGCATGAATAAACCTTGTGCGTATGATGCCAGAAATTGAAGTCAGGTAAGGCTGAAGATCATTCCAGAAAAAGGGAGGGGGCAGGACAGGAAGCGATGTAAAACTGTGAATTTTAAAGTTAAGGCATTTTGCTGGACCGGAGCCACAGTAGGGCAGCAAACATAGGGTAATGAATAAACAACACTTAATTTTAGAAGAATTTTGGGTTTATTTATTTTGATGACTGGGAGGCAGTTACACCTCAATGTCAAAATTAACAATCCATTGAACAGTTTCAGCTGATGTCGTGAGAGTGGTCACAATGCCATCAGGAATGGATCTCGAGGTAGGACTTCAGTATGTTGGTGATGATCCGACTTAAATGGATATAATCACAATTTAAGTTGTTTCTCGTGTTCCACTTTTGAAGCAAATAGTCACAATATCTCTGGCCAGTCTTCAAGTGGTTGAGACTTTCCTTGGGAGGTTGAAACCTGGGACCCCACACAAATCTGACGAAGGGTTTCGGCTCGAAGTGTTGACTTTCCTGCTCCTTGGATGCTGTTTGACCTGCTGTGCTTTTCCAGCTCCACATTTACTGATAGTAACCAGTCTGCATTATTTTGTGTTTGCTGGTGGGACGTGCTGTTACATTCCAGGGTATGGAACATGTTCCAGTAGACATTATAGGATTTCAGGATTGTGTCTGATTTTGATGTTCTGAGTCAATGGGAGTGCTTTGTTAGCTGTCAGCACGTGATGTTCTTTGTGGAGGATGCATACCTCCCATCCGTCAAGATTTTCATCGTCTGTGAGCACAGGAAGCTACTTAAGCTGTGTTGGCCTCAATGTTCTAGAAATAATCTCATGGTTTCCCAAAGCTGGATATCGATCATGTTTATGTGGTGGCTCCTGGGCCAGATTCTGCTGCAGTACTCTGCTGTCAGCTAGACCAGGGTGCATGAAATAGCCAATAATGTGTCAGCTCTGTTGCCCAGCTGGCAACCACCAGGCTCTCGTCTTGGCCTTGGTTCTAGCATTGATGTTCGGTCAATTATGATTTAAAATGATGCCAAAATACGTGACATTGGGGCTTGGGAAGTGGAGCGATCAGCACTGAACTGGACATGAAGTTCTTCTCCTTGGCTTTTGCTGTATTCAGACAGAGGTTGGAGTCTCCATTTTCTGAAGTAGGTTTTCAGAGAAAATGCATCTTCCACGAGTGTTTTCTTGATGCTCTGAAACCCGGCCAAGTCGTCAGCGTATGAGCTGTGGCTTTGCTGAAGAGAGGTCTCTGGTATAACTGCTGAAAAACTGATTCCTGTGGGAGTTGGTTATGTGGGTTGAGAAGTGTGTCTGATGCTGGTTACGTGTGGGAAGCTGATTTGATCTGAAAGGTTCACACATTTGTGAATCATGGAGTTAATTAGTTGTAGGGGTTTCATACAGCAAATTTTAAAGAGTTCAGCAGTGCGCCTGTGCACCACATTGTCATAGGCAGAGAATACCTCAAAGGTAGTACCTGTTCTCAGGGCTCTCTAAAAACAAGCCTCAAAATATTAGGATAACATCTTGAGGGACTTGACTGGGTGGATGTTTAAAAATATTCCCTCCTGGGAGAAGCTAGGTCTAGGGCTGTCGCTTGTTGGGTTACTCGTATTTTAGTGGGTCTAGAGCACTTGTGGCCAGTATGAAAACCTGTGTCTAGTGTGCATGGTTCATCACTTCCAAGGGGAGACAGTCTGTTAAGGAGGCTTTCCAGGACCCTTTATATTATTGATTACATGCAATGAGACAGTAGCTTATCGCTCTGGTTAGAGACAAAAAAAATGCAGAGGCTGGAATTCAGATAGACAAACAGGAAGCTGGAAGAACACAGCAAGCCAGGGAACACCTGGAGCTAGGTAGACAAACAGGAGACAAACTAGCCTCACTTCCAGTCCTGACACCCTATTGCCCAGAGGACTCACCATTGAGTTCTTCAATTTCAAATAACCTTCCCACCCATCCCTCAGCTCCTGTTCCAGCCCCACCTCCTCCCTTCCATTCCACCTTCTGACCCTCCCCTCCAGCCACCAACATGATTCATCCCTCCAGTTGACCAACTAGGTCGTATCTACTACCTGCGACCACCTATCACCAACATTCTGCCACCACCCCTCCCCCTGCCTTTATCTGCAGTTTCCCCCTACCCCCCCATTCAGTCTTGAAGGGTAATACTCAAAACATTGACTGCTCCTTTCCTCCAGATGCTGCCTGACCTGCTGTGTTCTTCCAGCCTCCTGTTTATCTACCTAGGTTATCATATGGTTTGCCTGACGAGGGAATGCCCATCAGTTTGGACTGACACTAAATGTGGATGCAGGTGAACCATTTTGCTCGCCAATTCCTTCCCTGTGATCCAATATTCTTCAGGGATTCTGTGCAAGTCCCACTGACCCCTGCTGCTTTGTCTGACCTGGTAACAATCAGGGCGCTGTCCAGTTGTTCTTGTGAGGGACTTGAGAAGTTTGTCTGCTGTGGGGCAGCCTTGAAAGACTTCTTCAATGCTGCTTTACCACGCAGTTATCTTCCCTGCTGTTTGCTGTCCGAGCTTATTTGGTGCTGTTAAGTGATGGAATTCGTGCTGATCCTGGGCTGCTAATACGGTCGATGCTCTGCTGTTCTCAGGCAGTGTAAGGGTTTCTGTCCTTTCAGCTTGATTGCCTGAAGTCAATCTTTTCCAATGTTTGCTGCAATCTTACGAGGTATCCTTCTTCCAGGGAATCAAGAGAGTCATTGTCACATCAGGGCCTTCCTTTTCCCCATATTATTCCACGAATTGTCCACTTACCAGGGTCTAGCATTGTAAGAAATTTCTCTGAAGCTCCAGAGAACAAATTTGGTAGCTGTAATTTTGAGAAGTTGAGTGAAGTAGCTGCAGTATTTGGGAAGGTGCAGCATTCAGTTAATAGTGGGTTGCCAAGTGCCTTCTGTTGGTATACCAGCTGCCCCCAGGCCCAACAAATTCCAGCATGGTTTTGATTTTGCAATTATGGATGCATATAGAGACCAATGCACGAGAGCTGTATAATGTTGGGAATGGGGGAAAGCGGGCAGCAGTCATCAAGGGCACATCTGCAGTCATGACTGATGAAGCAACTGGCGAGAGAGGTAGGAAACTTTAATGTGGTAATCCTGTTGAAGTCAATTTCCCAACCTGAAAACTTGCAAAATAACGCTGTCAAAAGTGTAGATGAACGCCGCCCACACAGCTCCTGGTCCAAGAGGTAAAACCTGACAGGAATTTTGGATGAGGACAAGTTTTAAGTTGGGTGGAAAATGGGATTGTATTAGGGAATCACTATTTTGGTCAAGATGCAAAGTAAAGCTCTCTGCAATCTCCAATAAAACACACTCAATTCAGGCAGGGCATTTGTTATGTACAACCCAGCCTCACGTTTCAAAGTGTGCCAACTAATATTCTTCCAAACAAGTCATCTTACATCTTCATGAAATGAAACTGACAATTTAGGGAAATTGCTGCATCATATAGATATTTTTATGGTACTTTGCCCACTTAAAACCAAAGTGTTGTAAGCTTACAGTGAACAAACAGCAGGAACAATTATCCCATTGGCCTCAATTCCATTTAAGCTCAAGTACAAAAGGCGAAGTACTCATTGTATTCTGCAGTCTTAGCATGAATTCACAACTTACCGCAGACACAGCTGTATCCAGCTCTACATGGCTTGGATTTTTAAAACAGCTCGTGGTTGTCACAAGGCTGTACAACTCACCTGGTCCTGAGTGAAGTCTCCAACTAGCTTCACCTGGATGTTTGGATAGCGTGAGATGTAGCAAAGTATCTTGGCACTTTCAAACGCCAGGTCAGGATTGGTGTTTCCATGGCTCATGTATCTGTTGAACAGGAGAAGTGAAAGGGATACAAAAATCCTTAACACAACATTTAAAAAGCCAAAAAGGTTTGAAATTCACTAGCCAATCGCATCAACATCCTGAAATGAGTCATCAATTTCTAAATATGGTACCTGATGGTTCTACAGAATGAATCAACCCACTATGCTGACTAATATCTGTGTACTCTATAACCTCAAAAACACTCAAATAGTGATGCACTGAAAAATTAGACTTTTAGGCAATGAAGACAACATCACGCTCAGAACAGAGCTTGAAGAATTGCTCATAAACCATGATGGCAGAAATTTGTTAGGAATGGAAATTGTGTAGAAGGGCAAAAGTTTTTTTAAAAGCAATTTAAAGCAAGGGATTTCAGCAAAAGAGGAACAGGGAGATCAAAGGAACAGAACTGAACAAAAATAATTAATATTAAATCGCCCTGGGGGAGTTGCATATCCCATAGAGTGAATGGAGCCTTAAGGCTGACACCTGTGATGCTGGGGACCTTGGAAGTTAACAGAGATGGACCATCTACTCAGCACGTCTGACTGAATATGGAATGCAAATGCTTCAGCCTTGACTTCTGAACTGAAATGATGGGTGCTGCTGCCAGCATGGAAGATGGGGATATCTGTGAACCGTCATCCTCCAGTTAGTTGTTTAATTGTCCAAAACAATCCAACACAGGAGGTGACAAGACTGCAGAGTTTTGACAGTTCTATCACATGCTGCTTCTGTTGTTTAAATACAACCCTGCATTGTAATTTAGCAGGGTGAAGGATATACTGCGCCACAGACATTATAGGTTGTTTTTGGATACAATTCTGCTACCGCTGTTGATGGCTTACAGTATCTCATGGATATGTTGTTTTAAATCTATATAATTCAGCACACAGGACAGAGTTTTTCCTCAGTGTAAAGACAGGTCTTTGACTGCAGAAGGACTATGTGGTGATCACTGTCACCACACAGCCATGGACAAATGCACCTGTGACAGGTGGATTGCAAAGAAAGAGATCCAGTGTATTTTCCTTCATATTGGTCTGCCACCTTCAGGAATCCATCAGCTTGGTCAGTAGTGGTGAGACTAAGCACCTCTTGATGATGGGCGCCCCCCACCAGAGCATATTCTGTGCCTTTGCTACTACCAGTGCTTTCTCCATGTGATGTTCAACATGGAAGGATTTGGTGTACAGGTTGATGAATGTCAGTATATGGTAACCAGCAGATTTCCTTCCCCATGTTCTGGTGTCCACAGTGTTCAAATGGAGGGATTTGAAACAGGACTTAGTGCATATTCTTACGAAGGGGGGAATAATGGCACAAAGCTATAGTTCTCTGGATGACAAAAGAGGTAGAGAAGAGAAAGGAGCAGAAAAAGGATATACGAGAGCTGTCAAGTTAAAGATACAAGTGAGAACCATGCAAATACAGAAAAGGTAATAGTATGAGAACAGTAATGGCACCAAATCTCGACACAAATCCAAAAGCTCCTGTCAGCATGTAAAAAGCAAAAAACAGCAGTAAAAGGAGGAGAGGAGCCAACTAGAAACTAAGTTGTGATTTACAGAGGCAGGCAGAAATACTAAATGAATACTTGGTATTTGCCTTCACAAAGGAAGATGCTGCGAAAGTCATAGTGGAAGGTAGTTAGGATATTAAAAATTGATAAACAGGATGTATTAAAAAGTTACGTGTACTTAAGTTGGTTAGTCAGCAAAACCAGTGAAGATTCAGTGAACGCATGTTGGAAATTGTTCAAAAGAATGTTACGACAAGCTCAGCATCTACAGGCCAGTCAGTTTAACATCAGTGCTGGGAAAACTACTAGTATGATAATCTGTGACAAAATAATTAATTATTGGGACAAATACAAAATATTTCAAGCCAGTCAACATCAGTTGGTTAAGGGCAAATAATGTTTAACCAACATAACTGCATTTTTTGATGAGATAACAGAGAGTTGATGCAGGCAAATGCAGAAATTCAATGAAGTGTCATATAACATTCTATACAGCAAATGTTAAAGCCCATGGAGCAAAAGGAGCATTGTCAGCAATAATACAAAGTTAGCTAAGTGATATGTAACAAAAGAACAGGCATTAACCTTCTTAAAAAACTTGAGGAAGGTACTGATTGCTTCCTCAAGTAAGTACAATGACCGCAACTTTTCTTGTTCAATATCAATGATCTAGACTTTACTGTCCAGCGCACAATTACAAAATTTGCAGCTGTCACAAAATTTGGCAGTGTTGGCAACAGCAAGGAGGATAGGGGCAGATTTCTGCAGCGTATAGACAGATTGGAGCAATGGGTGGAAATATGGCAGATAAAATTTAAGGCACAGAAATAAAGTGACAATTTTGTATGCAAATCAAAAGAGGTGATATAAAATAAAGATACGATTCTGACAAGGGTGCAGGAGCAGAGGGACCCGGAGGGTATATGTGCACAAATGACTGTAGATGTCAGGGCAGGTTGAGAAAGCTGTTAATAAGCCGCACAGGATCCTGGGCTTTAGAAATAGAGTTATAAAGGAACAGCAGTAAGTGCGCTTTGGTGTAAATTTGTAATTATGTATCACATAGAATCATAGCATTCCCAGGCCATTCGGCCCATTGAGTCAACACCGACCCACCTAAGAGCATCCCACCCATCCCCACAACCTTGCATTTCCCATGGCTAATCCACCCAGCCTGCACATCCCTGGACACTATGGGCAATTTAGCATGGCCAATCCACGTAAGCTGCACATCTTTGTGACTGTGGGAGGAACCTACAGCAAAGCTGCGCAGACGCGGGGAGAGTGTGCAAACTCCACACAGACAGTAGAACTGAACCCGGGTCCCTGGTGCTCTAAGGCAGCAGTGCTAACCACTGATCCACCATGCTGTCCAAGTTTGGTCAGAACTGGATTGGACACATAGAATACAGTATTTCAGTTGGAAAGGCAAGAGTCAAGAACCTGGGCTTGTTACCCTTACAGCAGAGAAGACTGAGAGGAGATATGACAGAGGTATTCAAAACAACAGGACACTGGACAGCAGATAGGGAGAAAATGTGCCCACTGGCAGAAGCGTCAAATCTGAAGGATACCAATTTAAAGTGAATGGCAAAAGAAACAAAGGCAACAGAAAGAAAAAGCTTTACACAGCAAGCAGTTCAGATCTCGAATGTACTGCCTAAGAGTGTGACACATTCAATGGTGGCTTTCAAAATGGAATTGAATAATTATCTGGACAGAATGTGTATGCAGGGGTATAGGGGAGAAGAAAAAGCAGAGGAATGGACCAATGAGTTGCTTTTGCACTGGGTTTGTATAAGCATATCAGGCCAAATAGCCTCTTTCTGCGCTAATAGAAGAATAAGGACAAGCAATCAACTAAAATGGACAATATTAAAAGGGTACATGAACAGAGAGTTCTGAGAATGTATGCAAAGGTGGAAGACACGTTTAGAAGGCTGCTTAAAAGGACAAAAGAAAAGTCTGCACAAAAAGTGACACAAATCTGACTCAATCTCAGAACTGTTCCACACAGAGACTCTATCCTGCCTGCACTGGTTCTCCAAATGAGCATCATGATTTAGTGTCGTTTTTGTGGATTTTTCCCATTCCTTCAATTGGACTTGCCTCTATCATACTTCCAGCAATGCATTCAGCAGCTTAAATCAAAAGATTCGCTGATAAACTGCAAGGCTGATTACCCAAAAGATTTACTTTGGAGTACGAGCCAACTATTTACCTTGTAAAATAAACTACATACGTGGGGTTAGATAAAGTACTCCATAAGCAATACTTGAATCTATAAATCATCTTATCATACTGAAATGTCTCAAACATTTCACAATATCAGGTATCGGTGAAGTGCTTGACAAACTAACATAGTGAAGTGTTTGATTGTTATATGAGCAATTATTTGAAAATAATTAATGCTGCAAAACATATTTTTAAAAATATGAAAAAAAAACACTTTGCAGGTCAAACTGTGCCTGAAAACTCTTCAAATCGATTTCAGTTCATAACCAGGAACTTATGTTATTCAAACACTTGCACACTGTTATATAATTGGTACTGTTGAAGTGAGAAGCCAGATTTTAACTGAACTTCCACATTATTAAAAGTACATGTATAAATTCATGATACCGAAGTCAGAGTAATGGTAATGATCTCTAACTTACCGAGCAATATTGACTACATGGTCAGCCTTTTTGGTGCGTGGATTGATGCCCTGAAGCAGCTGTTCAAGGGGTGTGGCGATGACGGAGGAATGACTTTCTCTTAGCCAATCCATGAATTGATTCTCCTTCTGCAGGGCCAGCTCCAAAAGGCCCAGGGAATATTCCACAGCTTTTTCCAAGTGCTTTTTACCTGAGGCATCGGCAAAATATGGTTTGTGATTAACAACATCCCATAGTACAGGTGTTTTGAGAAGTGAACTCCTTTGAAACCCTACATTCTAATATAAGCAGAAACTCACATCAACTAAAGCCACAGAATAAAACATGAGTCAAAGCCAAATCCAATGGCACTCAATATTTTAAGTCATAAGAATCTAGCAAATCAAAAGTGCAACAGAAGTGTGACACACTATGTGTTAGACAATGATCACAGCAATGTGCTGTTTACAGATGACAAGCTTAACATGGTGATGCTCACAGTTCATCAGATGTTCGAGAAGAAAATTCTGTTCAATAAGAACAAGATTGTAACACTGTATAAAGCAGAACACTGGAATTTTCTGTGCAGGTTTCTTTCATGATGATTAAATATGTTAAATCTTCACCAGTTGAATTCAAGTTCAAGTTGCTGATGCATGCCACAATACCGCCCATTCACTTGGAAGTGGTCATTCAGCTAACACTATGGAAACAATATAGCGAATGGAATAATAAAAACAAAAAGAACTTGCACATCTGTAGACAGAACAACAGAGTGAACATTTCAACTCTTTTGAAATGACCCTTTGTCAGAACACAGGGAATAGAGAAAGAGATGGCAGAGACAGGCAGAGAGAAGGAAGAGATGGTCAGAGTGATAAGGCGAGAGTGGCAGAGTGAGACACAGCAAGACAGCAGTGATCGACGTGCACTTTAAATCAATCTAGACAACTGCCTTTACTGCTCACAATGTAATCTGTTCTACAGTGGGAAGACAAACGCAGATTGGATGACCGCTTTATCAAATGTCTATGCTCTGTCTGTAAAAATGACCCCAGCGTTCTAGGTGCCTACCACTTAAACAACACACCACTGTGTTCCCATGCCAACATTTCCATCTCAGGCTTGCTGCAGTGCTCCAGCGAGGAAACGATGTGACCAAAATAGATGAGGACAGAGCAGTAGACATTGCCTACATGGACTTTAGCAAGGACTAAAGGTCCCACATTGTAGACTGGTTAGTAAAGTTAGATCACATGGGAATTAGGAAGAGCTTGCCAATTGGATACAAAATTGGGTTGACGGTGGCAGACAGAGGGCGGTGGTGGAGGGTTGGTTTTTGGACTGGAAGCCTGTGAACAGCGGTGTTCTGCAGGGATCGGTGCTGACTTCACTGTTCTCTCTTATTTACATAAGTGATTTGGAGGAGAACATAGGAAGCATGGTTAGTGAGCTTGCAGATGACACCAAAATTTGGTGGTTTGTGGACAGAGAGGAAGGTTACCTAAGATGACAAGGGATTTTGATGAATTGGGCCAATGGGCTGAGGATGGAGTTTAATTTAGATAAATGTGAGTTATTACATTTTGTTCAGATGAACAAGGGTAGGACATACATAGTTAATGGTAGGGGCCTGGGTAGTGTTGTAGAATTGAGACACCTAGGGGTTTGGGTAGATAATTCCTTGAAATTTGCATCATAGGTAGACAAGGTGGTTAAAGGAGGCATTTAGCACACTTGCCTTCATTGCTCAGACCACTGAGTATAGGAGTTGAGATGTTATGTTGTGGTTATACAGTACATTGATGAGGCCACTTTTGGAGTACTCTGTACAGTTCTGGTCACCCTGCTACATGAGGGATATCATTAAATTGGAGAGGGTGCAGAAAAGATCTACAAGGATGGCACCAGGACTGGAGGTTTGGAGTTATAAGGGAAGACTGGATAAGATGGGACTTTTTTCCACTGGAGTGTAGGAGGTTGAGGGGTGACCTTATAGAGGTCTATAACGTCATGAGGGGCATAGATAAGGTGAATAACAAAACTCTTTTCCCTAGGGTAGTGGAGTTTAAAACTAGGGGACATATTTTTAAACTGAGGGGATAAATATTTAGTAGGGACCTTAGGGGCTACTTTTGCAACACAAAGGTGGTTTGTATGTGGAATTAACTGTCAGGGGAAGTGATAGATGCAGGTACAGTTACAACATTTGAGAGAGATTTGGTCAGGTACATGAAAAGGTACATCCTTTTAGAGGGATATGGGCCAAACACAGACAAATGGGATTAAGTTTAGTTTGAGAATCTTGGTCGGCATGGATGAGTTGGACCAAAGGGTCTACTTCTGTGCTGTATGACTATAGTACTTTATCTTCCACCTTGGTACCTTACAGCCTTCAGGACTCAACATTGAGTTTAACAATTCCAGAACGTGAACACCCTCTATGTTTGCTAGCCTCCCCTCACACCCCCAGGTTTCATGAATTGCTCCCAGCACAGCTAACCCATTTTCACTTCTCGTTAGCACCTGCCTGCCCATTTTATTTCTCTCTCTGTCTCTAGGAACTGCCTCCATACGCCATACTCTATTCATTCTCACCACTACCCTGACATCAGCATAAATATCATCCTATCCCAACTACGTGTAGTTCTGACAAAGGGGCAATGGGCTCGAAATGTTAACTCTGCTTTTCTCTCCACAGATGCAGCCAGACTTGCTGAGTTGTTCCAGCATTTTCCATTTTTGTAACAATTGAGACATCAATTAAGAGCTTTCAAATATTGTGTTCAGTATTTTTCTGTTCCTGTAATTTTTCTAGACACTGCATGTATTAAATCCAGGGTAAAAGAGCAAACTATGAGATACCAATGAACAGACGACACAATGACCCAATTTTGAAATTTTGTGCAGCATACTAAGTAAGAAACGATGGTGACAAGGCATAACCAAAGCTAATGACTGTAAAATGACAAAGTGAATTGGAAACAGTACAAATAACTCAAAAATACTGGATAAAAGAAAATTTGTGATAGGGGAATTCAATAGTTTTGGGATTTTGGGAAGTAATGAGTTAAAACAGGAGAAAAAACAAAAAGAATATTGACTAAGAGGGAAGAACTGTCTAAAGCAAAGAACATTGGTAGTTGGGGAGATAAATTATCACAGCACAGAGGGCTACCAAAGAACTTTAACAATACATCAATGTCCCAGCTCATCTGTGTGCATACACACGATATATTTCTCTTTGCCTACCAGGAAATGGTGCGTAGGTGTCCAGCAGCTTAACACCTTCCTCCAAAAGACACAGACAAAGGCCCAGCATCGGGGAGTCATTCAGCAGATGAAACATCAAATTGTATCCTGGAGATTTGTATGCAACCACCAGCTCTCCTAGGAATCCAAGAAGCACAGTAATTAATCTTAACATGGCGCCATTGACTTTCAGGATTGGATACTGTGTAGCTGCACAGACTAAAAGGACCAGATTAACTTCAAAATGGATTTGAAGACACAACCATAATTCAGTTACTACAGCAGGTTGCTTAAATTTGGTCAATTTAGTTCCATCATATTTTGGTTCTGGTGCAGAGTTTCATTTTGGAAAAACGTTTCATGGAATGTCATATTGGCCGATTCGATTCACTTGCTGGTGACTTCAATAAACAGACACATGGGGTGAAAATTTTGTTCTGGCTCCTGGTCCAATGTGAAAGAGGATTTGATAGTGCCAACAGGTTGTCATGGGAATGGCACTCCAAGTAAGCTGCACCTGACTCAACATTAACCCGTATCAAGTTGTTACACTTGTGCACTGCCACCACAGGCTGGAGACCAAAATGCAAACAGGGTCACATGAGCTCAGTTTTGGGGGAAGCTATTCTTCTGAGTGGAGTTACACAAGACATATCGATCTGAACACTAATACTGGATACAACTGATGCAAGGTGTTCCACTCTTTCACCTTAATCAGCATTAAAATGACAAAACGGGACATGAGTGAGGGTGGATTTAAACGTCAAATGTCACTTCCAGACGTTTTAGGAAAAATTGACAAAGAAAATAAAAACAAAAATTCTCCCAGTCGGAAGCTTGAACCCACTGAGTGACAGCTTTGACAGCAATATCCAGGACCCATCATTTACCTTGAAGTTCCACCATTTGGTCTGTGAAATCTTCTGGTCGGGGTTCATAGTCTCTTAAGAGCTTATGGAAAACTTCAAGCACAACTTCAGCCACTTCCCACTGTGGAATATCACACGTATAGAGAATTAGAATTCCAAGTCAGCAGTGCTGCAATGCAGGGCTCAACAGAAGAAAGAACATACATAAAAAGAGTCAATATTGCTTCTAAAAGGACCGAGGTCACTTCTCACTTTTTCTGCAGCTCTCCTGTATGCTCTGGTTGGAAAGCGAAGAAACACAGAGTCTCTAAGGAACTGGAGATATGGGTCAAATCCTGGTGGACGGAGTCCTGCTCCAAGGTTTGTGGGGAAAGAGCTTTCGACCAGTGTACTTATTAGACAGCAAAACGCTCTGGTGAGAGGATACTCTTCACTGCGAGATTCAATTTCATTCAACTCCACCTGAGGAGAAAAATTATTAAGGAATGTGACAATCTAAAATTAAACTCCAAAAGTCATAAAACATTAAAGCACAGTGACAATCATTTGTTTCATTAACCATTCAGAGTCTTGGAACAATTTATTGACTTATTTCCATTCCCTCTTCCTCAATTACTTTATCAATTATTGTTTTCAGGGATATTTCCAATTTCCTTTCTAAGATTCCCACCCCTATCAGGTAGTTCATTGCAGATCATAACTCATCTTCACTTCATTCTTTTGCCAGTTACGGAGCAGAAACAAAAACTTGCATTTAAGATTCTGGTATCTTTAGTCACAAAAAAATGCATTTCAAATAGCTACGCAAAGTTGGATCTGACAAGAATGAGACAATCCACAAAGGCATTTATTTGGAGGGCTGACCATAACTGTGATTGAAATGGTTGATTTTAAGGAGATCTTAAATAAGCAGAGCAAAATCAAGAGGCTGTAGAGTAAACATTCCAAAGGATAGGGCCTAGATATTTCAAGATTTTATTCCTATGATTGGGAACAGTAAGGGAGGATGCATCAAGAGCCAGACAAAGAATCAGAGACTTTGGCAAATGTAATGTTGGAAGAGTATCAAGGATATCCTCCCCACTTAGTCACAGTACTTATATGGCTAGTCTGGTTTACTTCAGTTTCTGGTCAATGGCAATGATCATGATCATGATTTTGATGTCATCTTGTTGATGGCTTGTTTTCGGGATTGGGGTGGTATTCAGTGATGATAATGGTATTGAATGTCAAGGAGAGATGGTTATATTCTCTTGCATTGGAAATGCTTGTCATTACCTGGCACTTGAGCAGTACCAATGAATGCAAGGATTTATTATTGCTCAGAATTCAGACTGCAATGTTTTGAATGAGCTGAATTTTACAGCTGCAACACAGCAGGTTTGACGAGAATTGGATTCACTCAGTCCCAAAGCGACAAGGACATGGATGAGAGATTCTGCAATTTGGTAATACTTTTAAGTTGTTACATCACACTGCCAATCAATCAATCTCCACGTCTCTGGTAACTGAAATATACAATTTATCACACTGGCCAATATTAAATACAAACAATACACAGAGTACAGACTTGACTAGTTTCCACAGAATCAACATAGCTCAAAATTCACTCCTATACTAAGTGTCAACGTAAATGCCCCAAGACACAGTAACTTCTGAACCTGTCTTTGTGCCAATTTTACAGTTAGTCCAAAATCATTGTTGCTTCATACTCTAATCATTTAGGATATAGCTACAATTCTTACACGATATACAAGAACAATCAACATTAAAATCCATAAATTTTCAGTTACTGAAGGGGTCAGCAATAGTTGTGTGTAATTTAAATGTCATTTTCTCCGAAAGCAGTGAAGCCCAATTCCAGGACATTTCAATTTTTAAAGGGAGGGTAGGGAGAAGGAGTCAGAAACTCAATGACAGAACAGAATTTTAAGTCTGGCAATGGGTGAATTTGAAAGTCAGCACAAGGCTGAGAAGCTCAACATTGGGAAAAATGGAAAATGGAAAATCAGGACATGCTTCCTCGTGTGCCAGATTGTGCATGTTGCCTCTCATTTGATTTTCTGTGCACTCTTGCACTCAGCAACGCTATCAGCTCTTCAAGGTGGTTTCTTCCTTTGTTAAGGTACCGGAAGGCCTTATCAAAGCTGCTGTTCACTTTTGTCACTCGCACTCTGCAGGCAGTTCTCACTTCCTGGCAACGTTTAGTGCCAAGATGACCAATGGTCTAATTAGTGCACTTACATCTCAAAATAGCATCAGATGAGTGATGCAGTTTAAACAAGGGGCTCAAGACATGAAATCATCTTGGTGTGTTTCCAGCTGCAATTTGAAAATTAAGCCCCATATATCTTTCAAGAATATTAAGGTCAGGCGTCAAAAGAATTTAATACAATGCCCAAATACCTCCAACAAACAACATTACATGTACATTGTAATGCGTTGTAACGGCAGCTATGGATCAATTCCAATCACTGTGACAGGTCTCGAAGTACAAGCGCAGTAATTGATCCACACAAACTGAAGTCTATGCAGGGTTCAAAGATCACTGTCTAACCTAGTGGTGCAAATGCTGGCCAGCCTGCGATATGGATTCCCTGTCCTGTCATCAGCAGAAGCAAATGGCTGAAAGATTTTAACAGTGTGCTGTGATCAGGATCAAAAACAGCCCAGTAATATCTGAATCAGGGATAGTTGTAGGCCACTCAGCCCCTTCAACTTGCTGTGCCACTCATGGGTGATTTGATACCTGCTTGCTTATCAAAAATCTACCTCTGTTCAAAAATTTTTTAAAAACTCCATTTCCACTGCCTTTATAGAAAGAGTTCAAAAAAAGGGGGGCTGGGGGGGTGAATATCATCTTGCTTTAAATGGATAATGCGACAAGACAATAACTCCTCATACCAGGTTCTCTCACAAGAGAAAATATCCTTCCTAAATTCATTCTCTCAAGTCCTCCCAGGATCTTATAAGACTCAACCAAAGAAACCATCTTTTCATTCATCTTTGTTATGTAATGGATTACTTACCTCAATTCCGGTGTCTTGCCTCTGACTTGGGTTTCGGACTGTCTGCAACATCTGAAAGATGAAAACAATACTAATGATCTCAGTTCAAATTTGCAACCTCTTCAGTGTTGAAGCCCACAGCTTCTCAACAGCTTGATGAGTCATTTATTCTCAAAGTTTTGAAGTGGGCATTTCTCAAATCCAAGAAGAAACACTGATTGTCAATAGAGTGCATGATTGGGAGGTACCATGTTCAATCCTGTTCTTAACAGATCAGCTGTGACCACTAGAGTCATAAACCCGTGATTATTTTCACTTCACAGAACACAACTATCACTCTATTATACATCTTCCCAAATTCAATACCATGTTCAGTGTCACCTACCTGCGTATATTCCAGTGATTGCCAAAGTGAAGCAGCAATCTCTGGTGATTTGCCAAATGCTGCCAGTGTCTTCAGTATTTCAGCTTTTAGTCCAGGTGGAATGCTACATTGGATCAAACCCAACATAACCACAATAGGTGTCCACTGTGGATGCTCACACAAAGCCAGGCGGGCATTCTCACTCTGGAAGATAAAATTTGTTAAAGTATAATTATTCTTTAATAGATTCCAGGCATCACTTGCTGACTATCTTTAATTACCCTTAACTGAGTAGCTTGCTAGGCCATTTCAGAGGGCAGTTAAGAGCTAACCACTCTGCTGTGGGCCTGGAGTCATATGCAAGTCAGATCAGGCAAGGACAACAGACTTTCTTCCCTGAAGCTCATTAACAAATCAGACAATTTTTAATGACAAGTGATAGTTTCATGACTACTATTAATAACACTAGCTTTCAATTCATAATTATCTGAATTCATAATCCATTAGCTTTTCTTGTGGGATTTGGACCCATATCTTCATAGTATCAACCTGGGCCTCTGGATTACTATAAGTGTCCCCACAGTGAAGCGATTTAAGCACCAGAAGATCCTTCATATACCATTGCTCTCCTCCCCTTTCTAGGCCTCCTCCCCTCTCTTAAGAAAGTGTCAGAGTTACACTGGTGTGTAATCACTCAGACACGGTCATCATATGATCAACATTCAGATGCAAGGCCAAACAGCAAGTTTGGACTGACTGCACAATGAGAGAGATTTTCAGCTAAGCCTGATGTGGGTTTCAACCAGCACAGGTGCACACAGCATCGAAATGACATCAGGTCCAGCGGCGCTGAGGCCAATTACAGTTCCTTCCAGAGCCACTCTGATAACTCAGCCAACAGGAGAGCAGGAATCAGACCCTGGACCACTGCTCTCAGTTCTTCACCACACAAGTTCACTTTTTACTTACCCACTTTGGTATTGGAAAAAAATACAGACATCAGCCATTTCTGCATGAGAATAACTGCAGTGTAAAAGTCAACACTGAATTTTTTTGCATCCAACTTCAGCCTGATATTCTGTCTAGTTTTCCTCTAGAGATCTCTGACATCACAGGTACCAGTCTTCAGCCAATGCAATTCATTTCTCGTAATATCAAGAAATGGCTGAAGGCACTAGATACAGCAAAAGCCATGAGTCCTGCTAACACTGCAGCAATAGGTCTAAAGTCACGTGCTTGAGAACTAGCCATACTCCTAATCAAGCTGTTTTGGTTGTTAAGACACAGAAAGGTAGATGAATTAAATTAGCCTTTCTTCCTCTGTATTCGCAACACAGTAAAATTAAAGCCTTCAAAGATCCTCAAATTGACCTCAATGGGGTTCCTAATGTGACTTGGTGAATAACCAATTCCAGAGTCCAGTTTGCATCTTAAACAAAATAAGAAGTGGTTTTCACTTTGTGTCGCTCCATAGGCTTAGCTGATAGTTTTGCAGTTGACTTTTTGAACATGTCAAATCAGGGTCATTTCTTTCAGTTCACTCCGATAAAAGCAGTAATACTTTCTTTGAGCTTCCAAGAGTTGCTAATGGGAGATTAGGCAGGGAGCTTTCAAATCTTCTTGCTGTAGCATCAACAGGGAAATGCAATTTCTCAGAAGGCATACTCCAAACCCAATTCAAACTCTAACCACTACCTGACAGTCATCTCCTCCACAAGGTTCCAGTTACCATTCAACACCTGTCATCTGCTTGAGCACAAGGTCTTTTCCAGATTTGCTGGAACCAGTTCCCAGGTACTGACCTTGTTAGTCACCAACTGCTGCTATCTGTTTAAACATAATACTGTTCTTAGGTGACAAAGTGTCTACAAAGCCTTTTGATCAGGAATCAACCTACTATTACCTTACAGGCCTGACCTCACAAATAAACAAAAGCCTACTTGATCTGTTTTCCTTTTAACACAAGTGTTATCCAATGCCCAAAAGTCATCTTGAGCTCTCAGTTCAGCTTTCAGCTCTCAAACCAAATGTGAAAAAAAAAAATCATAAAATAACCAAAAATCAAAGAGTCTAACATAGTACAACAGTGGCATCTACCCAGGGATATGGAAAATTGCCTAGGTATGCCCTGTGCAATAAAGCAGGACAAATCCAACAAGGCCAATAACCACCCTTCCAGTCTACTCGAAATCAAAGTGATTGAAAGGGACCATCAACACTGCAATCTAGTGACACTTGCAAAATAATTACTTGCTCACTCACTAATGCTCGATTTTGGAGTCTGCCAGGACCAATCAATCCCTGACATCTTTACAGCCTTGGTCACAAAAACGGAGCTAAATTCCAGAGGTGAGGTGCAAGTAACTGCTCTTGACATCAAGGTAACATTTGACCAAGAGTGGCATCAAGGATACCAAGCAAAGGTAGCCTCAAGGGAAACCAGTGAAAACATTCTTTGCTGGCTGGAGTCATGCTTACCACAAAGTGAGATGGCTGTTGCAGTTGGAAATCAGTCACCTCAGCTCTAGGGCATCTTTGCAAGAGTTCCTCAGAGAGGTGTCCTAGGCCTAATAGCTCATCTGTTTCATCAATGACCTTCCCTTGACCGTAAGGTCAGAACGGGAATGTTTGCTGATGACTGCACACTGCCATTTACAATTCCTCAGATATTGAAGTAGTCCATCTCCAAATGCAGCATATCCTGGGCAAAATCCAGACCAGTGTTGACAAGTGGCAAGTAACATTGGTGGCACACAAGTACCAAAAATTTGCTATCTCCAGCGACAGAACCTAACCATCCTCCCTGGACATTCAATGCCATACCATTGCTGAATCAACCCTTATCAACATCCTGAGGGATTACCATTGACCAAAGACTGAAACGGAACAGTCATATAAATATAGTAGCTGCAAGAGCACTTCAGCAACCCCAAATTCCATGGTACGAAAACTTACCCGCCATCTCCCCAAAACCTGTCCACAAGGCATAAACAAGGGATGTGATAAAATCCTGTCCACTTGCTTTGATGGATGCAGCTCCGTCAACACTAAAGAAGATTGACACTACCCAGGACAAAGCAATCTGTTGAAATGGCATCCCATTCACGATGGTCAACATTCATTCTTTTAACCATATCTCATCAACCATTCTCAAGGGCAACTAGGGACGGGCAATAAATGCTGGTCAACTCACAATGTAGGTGGTTCTCACACTCCACAAGCTAATTAAAAAAAAAATACACTGATGCACACCTACAGCAATGCATACCATCTATAAGATGCACTGCAGTAACTTACCAAAGCTCCTTCAAAAGCACTTTTCAATCCCACAGAATCCACAACTGAAAAAAACAGCCTTTATAGACGCATGGGAACATCACAACACTATCACCTGCAAGTTTCCCTCCAAGCTACTCACCATTCTGACTCGGAGCCATATCTCCATTCCTTTAGTGCTGCTGGGTCAAAATCCTGAAACTCCCTTCTCAGTAGCACTGTGTGTGTCTGTGAATCCAAAGGCCTGCACAGGCTCAAAGTGACAGCTCATCAGCACCTTCGCCAGTGCACATCCCATGAATGAATAAAAAGAAAATTGAAAAGACGGACAGTTGTGGACAGAGCAGAGGAGTTAAATTAACTGGATAGCTCTTTCAAAGAGGTTGTAAAGATACAATAAGCCAAATTGCTTCCTTTAACACTGTTTGCTTCTGAGAAACCTTCAGCTGTTGCCCACAGCTTAAACTAGTGAACACAAGAGGGAGCCTGCTTGACTGGTACGGAATAATACCAAACCAAGTGGTGTACTTACTCTCAGAGGATAAAGACAAGTCTTTCATAATCCATTTTATGCACTATAATTGCAAATTTTCAGTCACTAACACACTATTCTCAAATCAATCAGATTTTAAAGGATAAATGAACCTTTTACTGTTTGTGCTTGTTGAAGCAACAATTAAAACTGACGTTTTCCATCTTAAATATCCAAACATGGCAAAGTCAATGGATTATACATTAGCAGCTGTAAACTTGGATGCAATTTGCACCTTAACACTGGTGACTTGTGTCAATGGCAAAGAGTCACATTGGTAGGCACACTAATAAACCGAATGCCAAGCATTGACCGAGATAACGTTTCAACAGTGGAACTTGAACTGCCTTCAAAACAGAGCATGAAACTGGTTTACAATCAATTGGAACCCACTTCTTAACGATATTGGGCTGCACCTCCAAGGGGATATGGGGATCCAAATGCAGAACTGAACGTATAAAAACTGCATAAATTTCACTGAACAAGGACAAAGAGCATCAGAATTCAATTGTAGCAAAGAATAAAAATAGAGAACAGAACTAGGCATATCACAAAAATTAGCTCAGAATTTTTCACAGCTTTTCATCTTGAATAAGTTGTTTTCTTATACTATAATGTTATTGCAATTGTCAGCATCAAAATGCTCTTTTTTGTATTTTTATGGATTGGTTCAGTATCACATTGTGTGAACACATATTAAAAAATTGTCAAGCCAACAGGATGGCTCAGTCAGTGGGAAGCTGGGCCCAATCTGCACTGAGATAGTTGACCTCACCAAGGACAGCTACCTGTGGCCTGCGTCTCATTAATCAAATGGGATGGGTGGAGGAAAATAATGGCCAGACTGTGCCTCATCCACAGAATAAAGAAAGAGGTTGGTTTTCTTTGCTCTCGACAGGGAGATATCAAGGACACTCTACATTACCCATTTGACGATGGTGCCTGTAAGTTGAAGGAAGGCGATGAGGCCATCCATTTCACGCTGTGTTATGCCTCGCAAGGGCATGTGTCTGTATTGAATGGTGTCGGTGCTTGGAATATCTCTTCTTAAGTGCTCGTGGTACAGCATCAGCGAGTGGAAGAAATGTTCCCATGATACTGGGTTGCCTCCGACTACCTGGATATTTTCTACTGCAAGGAACAACATGAACACAAGACTTAATTTTAAAAAAGGCCATCTTCCTTTTTCTTCTTCATCATCCACCTGTCCCTCAATATACTAGGGTGTGATTCCACAGATTCCAAACATTCCTCATCAGCAAAACAATTTATTTGTACTTCTTTCAATTACATTACATTTGCTGCCCATAATATAGTTGGTTCCATAACAGGGAGACCTATTGTAGATAGGGTGCTTGCTTTATGAAACAAAGTCCACAGATAGGACCCCAAACTTCCAATGGTCTGTCATTTTAACTCTTCACCTGAATCTGCTAAGGAACTCTGTATTCTGTCTCCTACACTCTTCAAATGAAGTTCAAGAAGAGCCTGAAAAAAAGCATCTCATCTTTCTGCTAAGTGCAATGCAGTCTTCCGGATTCAAATTGAGTTTTAATAATTTCAACTCATGATCATGATACCCTTTTCTTGGGTAATTGTTGCTTTTTCCACATGTAGAAACATCTTTGGTTTCTTTTCCTGTCCCAACATTCCCTTAGCTTTGCAACGTCATCCTCTTGATATTTAATCAGTCTGGCTTTCTTTATTGAAGACCTTCCTTTTTTGAACTTGGCTCCCCTTTAACCCTTTCATAGAGTCATACAATCCCTACAGTGTGGAAGAAGGCTGTTCAGCCTATCGAGTTTGGACGCACCCTCCGAAGAGCATCCCACCCAGACCCAACCCCCTGCCCCCATAACTCTGCATTTTTACCATGGCAAATCCACCTAATCCGTACATCTTTGGACTGTGGGAGGAAACCCACGCATACACGAGGAGAATGTGCAAACTCCATACAGACACCTGAGGGTGGAATCAAACTCCGGTCCCCGCCGCAGTGAGGCAGTAGCGCTAACCACTGAGCCACCATGCCATCGAACACTATCCACATTGAACTTTTCAAATCAGGTTGCCACCCAATGACTTCTCATCAGAACTGGAAAGTGAAAGTGAATGTCAAATGTCAAGTTCGGTTCTCTCTTCCACTGCTAAACGCCTGACCTGAGAATTTTGAGCAACCACAATACCATATCTTTGCTGCAGCTGTGAGTGGAACCCTTAATAAGTATTAACTATCATGGCCAGAATTTGACTGGCCAGTTGTAACTAGTAGATTTTTGAAGGATAAATAGGGACAATTTAAAGTAAGGTGAAAGTTAGGATAATCTGCAAAACAAAGTATTTAATAAAGAAAATAATCACAAAAATTTAGTGATGGTGGAAAAGAAGTGTTCAATAGATGTTGTTCTTTACTCAAACCTAAGTAAATAACCACTGAATCTAAAAGCACAAAAGTCGCTCATCATTCAGCCCATTATGCCTGTGCCAGGTCTTAGGATAAGCTTTCCAATTTAGCCCCACACCTTAGTTTCCTCCCTAATACTTTGCAAATTAGTCCTCAAGACTGTGTCAAATTGCCCTTTGAAAATTCCAATTTAATCTGATTCCATTATTCAGGGAGTACATATCTTCTTCATGTCTTCTGTACAGTCATTTTCCCATTTATTTTACATCCACAACATCCGTATATGAAGTCACTGACCAGAGGAAAGGTTCCTTATCTGTCACTGGGTCAAAATCTTGGAACTCCTTTCCGAACTGCACCGTGTGTCCCTAAACCACATGGACGGCAGCAATTCAAGGTGGGATCTTACCAGCATCTTCAAGAGCAATTAGAGATGGGGAAAAAAATTCTTGCCTAGCCTGCAACGCCCACATCCCGTGAACAAGTAAATTACAAACAAAAACAAAAGGAGCCATGCTAGCAGTCAAGGGAAACACTAGCTGATTTCTCCTCTGTCCCTGAGGTACAAAAGCCAACTGCTACAAAACTGACATCAGTTAATTTAGCACAGGTCAGAAAGCAAATCTAGCTGCATGGTAATATGCTACACTGGGTAACACCTTTATCCATCATTACTGGCAAAGCATATTCCTGTATTTTGAACTTATTTTCATGTACCACAGTTACTCAATTCTGAAAATCAACTACACTTTTAATGCATTTTCAAGTGCTGTCATGTTAAATAGATTGAATGATTTCAGGCTGAAAAGTGAGACTGCTTACATTTGCAGAGGAGGAAACTTACCGTGGCTGCTGCCATTAACTTTGAGCAGACTGAAGCAGTAGTGTGCACAGTGTGGCCCATTGGCTAGTCCGCGTAGCATCTTAAGATAGGGCAAGTACAGAGAGGGGGGTAGCATGTCTCCCATCTGCCTCACAAACTTCGACAGAACAACCTGTGAAGTAAAAAGAAATTAAAGGCTTTTTCCAATAGGACAGATTGTCACCTGTAAGCTAACACGTATACGTACTGGGAAAAAGTGACGGGTTCAATTTCTTCTCGGTAACACTGGAGATTTCATCACTTCCAGAATGAAATGAATGTGAACAAACTAAAGGAATGGCTGAAAGCTGGGAGTTCAAGAAGAGGCACAAAATTGAAGATGTTCAACTGAATTGGAGTTGCAATAAACAAAAAGCTCAAAAAAACAGTAAGGCATATTGCTGAAGTCAGTACATTGGAACAGGACTAAACCACAGTTTCACAAACATGTTCTGCCATTGAATTAGGCCATGTTAGATATGCCCCTCAAGTTCTTGTGCTCACTCCTGATCCAAAGCCCTTGGACTTTTAGCTAGCAAAGGTCTATGATCTCAGCTATGCAGCTTGATTGATATCACTGGAAACATACCTGGCGTTGTGGTGGTCTATGGCGGGTCAAACCAGAGAAGGAACCAGTCATGCTTGTAGTCTGAACTGGTTCTGAAGGACACCAATATTCAAGAGCAAGCTCTAGCCTGAAAGGATCCTTCTGGTACAACTCTCCAATCTGCCAAAAGCAGAATAACAAAACAAAATTATATCTCAAGTAACTTATTTTGTGAAAGTGCTCAAGATGTTGAAATGTGACGAGGCATCACAGAAATCAGCACAAGCACCAAAATTGTATGTGTATGCACTTAAAACATGCAGTTACAAATCCACTGGCATGAGTCCAACAATTTGATGAACCTCCAAAACATGCACACGGATTGAATGGTTTTCAAGTTTTTGGGACAACACAGTGGCTCAGTGGTTAGCGCTGCTGCCTCACAGCGCCAGTGACCCACTTTCGATCCCAGCCTCGGGCAACTGCCTGTGTGGAGTTTGCACATTCTCCCTGTGTCTGCGTGGGTTTCCTCTGGGTGCTCCGGTTTCCTCTCACAGTCCAAAGATGTGCAGGCTAGGTGGATTAGCCATGCTAAATTGCCCATAGTGTTCAGGGATGTGTTGATTAGGTGGGTTATAGGGGGATGGTTCTGGGTGGGATGCTCCAAGGGTCGGTGTGGACTTGTTGGACCGAAGGGCCTGTTTCCACACCACAGGGATTCTATGATTCTAAGTATGCAGACTCTTTGGCAAGTTATCTGTTGTCATAAAGCACAACTTATTTTCTGCCACCGGAGGCCCTCAGTGATCTATCTGTAAAGGAGTGCACCAGCACATGTTGATAGAACACACTCAATCTGCTAAATGGTCATATGTATTCACCAATTTAAAAAGGCATAGTCTGCTTTGTAAATTTGGCAAAATCTTCCCTGCGCTCAACATTCAATACAAGTTAGCAGTAGAAATTGAAAGGTGGAGATGTTTTGGATTCAGGAATGTTCACTAAGTCATAAATATTAAAGATTAAAACTACTCTTCTATTTTTCTTCCCATCAATCCTTTCACTCCACAAGCTGGCACACAATCCAAACTATATTCACAGCCCCACGTTGCTTGCTTTTTTTGCCAAAGATCTTTTGGAGTCTGTGGGGGAGCACAACCTGGCTCTGTTTCCACATCTACGGTGTCAGAAAGAATCATTGGAAGGAATCAATCAAATCTATTACTATTATAACTATCATAAAAACAAAGTGCTGGGGAAATACAGCAGATCCAGCAGCCTCTGTGAACACAGGAATAAAGTCCAACATGATTTTTCTTCATACCAACAATTAATCCAGCACACTCTGATTTTATTCCAGATCCACAGCATCCATCGTATTTTTCTTTTAAATTACACAAACCGATGCATTCTTAAGCTCCCTCATTTTGTGCTCATTTTTGCACCTTCATCCTGAGATTCCGGAAACCTGACTGGTTCTCTGTGAAACACCTTAAAATATGCCTCTTTGACCAAGCTTTTTGTCACTTATCTTAATGTAGCCAGATGTGGATCTGGTTCAATCTTTGATGGAACAACTGAAAACCGCCTTGTTTTGCAGTGTTAAAGATGCTACAATGCAACAATGCATGTTGTTGTTGCCGTTCACTGAGCTACCGATTTGGTGCGTGCTCGTTCCAAGTCCAAGTTCAGGGTGGTATCATGTTTCATCTTACCAACAGCATTAAGTGTTCGAGGTCACGGCGTACTGTGGAAGGTGGTTCACTGCCCATCTGCAGACTCATATGGATAATTCGGGCATCTTCATCTGCACGATTCCGCAGTTGTTTAACCTGTTAATACAGTAGGTGAGATTGCAAAGGCAAGTCAAGGTCAGTATGATCTCACCAGTGTTGCCTCTTCTCAACTCATCTTACAAAACTGATGGAAAGCAAAATATCTGAGGTTGTGCAAACCTTCCCACGTGCACAACGGCCAGGGCATTGAATATAAACACTTAGCACTTTCTCTTGTCTAGTAAAACTATGTTATCTCCTGGACGAGGCAAAAGGACTACGGCAAGAACAGACAGGACTAGAAAAAGGGGAGAAAACCCAGAAAATTCATCTCACTCACTTTAAACCACAGGTATGACAAATGTTAAATTACTTCTCTTTCTAATAATATAGTCTCTGCATCAGATCAAGTTTTGGTCCAGTTCCCTTTGTTAAGCATACAGAAATTCATGCACTACATTAGCAAGAAACAATACAAAAGTTCATTCCTATCTGCTCAAAGAAAATAGAATGGCTCGTCATTGAAAATCATGTTCCCTGTTCCTTCCCAACTTGTCAAACTAGATTAATTCCTTATCAGGTATCCTTTTCCAGTGTACTGCAATACTCCGTATCAATCTCTATAAAACAACTACAGGCATATGTTTCATCTAACATACAATATGGAGCCAAAACTTTAAAATGAACACTTGAAACATAAAAGTGAAGGTAGAAGAGATATTTTCATGTTAAAATATGGATTCGTTTATCAAATATGCTTGAAGTTGACCCATTCAAAATCTGTTCTGTGCAGGGTGGGGAAGGGTGAACATCTACAGTCGCACCATGACAATAACAGACAATCACAGTAAACTTTTAAAATCTTTTTAGCTGGTATTCTGGCTCCCGATGTCCTGCTTTTGGGATCACATCCCCTTTTGTTGCCTGCGTTCTGGGTGCTGGCACGTGTTCCAATAGCTGGCAGTTGCCCACCCATTCCAGCTCCAAGACACCCTTGGCCCTGGCACGCAGTGGGGAGCATGCCAGCCTGGAGCCTTGTTTGTAGCCACAGAGGTGTCTGTCTATTTCCCTTACAGTCGACCACCTCACAAATTACAATGGTATTTACACTTTGTATGCAGTATTCTAAAAGTAGTTTCACCAATGTCCTGTACAGCTGCAACCTTTCATTCCAACTTCTAAACTCAACGTTCTGATCAATGAAGATAAGTACGCCAAACACCACCTCTGGTCGTCCTTCCATATGAAGGATGTTGTTAAACTTGAGGGGGTGCATAAAAGTATTACAAGGATGCCGCCAGTACTGGGGGCTTTGAGTTATAGGGAGAGACTGAATAGACTGGGGCTATTTTTCCTGGAGCGTCAGAAGCTGAGGGGTGAGCCTATAGAGGTGTATGAAATCATGAGGGGCATGGATAGGTTGAAGAGTCAAGGTCTTTTTCCTAGGGTGATCGAGTCCAAAACTAGAGGGGATAGGTTTAAGGTGTGATGGGAAAGATTTAAAAAAGGATCTGAGGGGTAATTTTTTCCACACCGAGGGTGATACATGCATAGAACGAACTGCCAGAGGATGTGATGGAGGCGAGTACATTAACAACATTTAAAAAGACACCTAGGTGGATATACGAATAAAGGGATATGGGCTAAATGCTGGCAAATGGAAATAAGTCAAATTGGGACATCTGGTCGGTGCGGATGAGTTGGACTGAAGGGTCTGATTCCATGCTGTATGACTCTATTAAAGGATTCACAAAGTGGGCATTTCCACCTCTTCCTTTTTCTTCCACCTACCGTTCCTCACTGTGAATCTGTACATGATGTGCTATGTTAAGAGTTTCAATTCGCAATTTAAACATTAACTCCCAAAATCTCCTGGTTAAAAATTTACTGTAGACCACAATGATAAGCATCGACTCAATAAGAACTAGACTCCTGTAGCCATATAACCCGATATTTGAGGTCAACACTTTCAAGAACTTGCATAAGGACAAGCTCTGCAATGCATTATGAACTCTGCATTCAAGCGTTGACCCATTCCTGCACTGAATGGGACCAAAATATTTCCTTAAAGTGCCAGCTAACAGTACATTGGTTTGACGGTTTGGTAATCTTAGCTTTAAGATTTATTTCTCAAGCTTTTATTTGCTGTATAGTTTCTCCCTGAAAAATGCCGCAACAGGAATAACCAAAAGTGTTGCAAATAAACAGTAAAATTCAGTCCTGACATCAGATGTTTGTAGGCGGAACAGCAGATCTCAACTAGTGTGCTGGGATGAGAGAGTGCAATTAAACTATACTGACATTAGCATACCCATTAACAGTTAACACCAAAGTTGACCCCATTGTTATAAATGAATGCTATCTTTGCTTTTTTAAAAGCAATTTACTATTGGCAGATGAGCTTGACCACACAGAGCTCAAATAAATGGTTCCGTATAATGTCACAAGGAAAGCATTTGCATGAAATGTAATTCCATCTCATAGTTGTCAGTTCACAATACAGATACTAACTTCAGAGTTAAATTTATCGAATGTGCAAATGCCAGTCTCCAGGAATAAAATGAAAATGCAGCTTTCACATATAATGATCAATAATAAATCACACGTTTGACATGGGGTTATTCCAGATTACATGAGCCACCAGTAGCCCTATATCTCAGCAAAATCAGTGGGCTCTTTACCGACTGAGTTTGTCCAGACGCATCCAATTACATCATGCAAAAAGTGTCTTAACACATTAAATCGAACCGACAGGGAATATGATTTTTATACAGTGGCTTGCGAGCTGTTGAATCAAAAATGAGACCCCTCTTTAAATGAGGGGTCAACATGGATCATGAAAGTAAATCAGTTGGTGTTTTCAAATGAATTCTCCCAAAGGATCTCTGTTTCACTCCATTAAAAGTCACGGGAGAGATTGAAAGAAGATATTCTTGTTTTATTTGAACTTGGGAACAGTTGTCATTTTCAAGATGATGAAGGGGAATAACGAAATGGCGTTTTCGCTGTTTAGCGTAGTGACAGGGCAAATACGAGGGACACAAGCGCGAAGTCAGGTGGAATGTCCGGGGCACCCAAAGGGAAACTTAATTGTGCGGCAAGTTGTCAGGGGTTATGCGCTGATGTAGACCAATTGAATAAACATCTGCAACTTACCTTCATTGGCATGAGCGTCAAGAAGTCTGTGATTAGACTGTGAATCCTACGGATGTAGAACTCATCTTGGTGTAAACCCTCAGCTCTCACCACAGCATCAGTGAGGAAAAGGAAGGCATTCTGGCTAATGGCCATGTTCGCAATCATCTCATCAGCCTCTGTAAACTCTGTCAGTGCTGCAGTTGACGAAAAATGTAGACATACCCAGACCATCGATAATTAGCATTCAGATCACATAGGTTCAATTTCACAACCGAAAGTGCATCATTGTATTTTAAAGTATGCATTCTATAAATAGGAAGGTGTTTCCTTCAGTACATACCATCATGGATTTGTCAAGTGCTGAAAATGTTCAGGCCATGTCAACAATTGAGGAAATTCATAGCTATACAGCTACAATATGGTACTTCAATTCTGCAATGTATGTCATGAGGACAAGCTGGAGCAAAGATTGGTCTTGAGGTGAAATACGATGGGCCAACTGACCCTCCTCACCCTTATTCATGTTGTGACATGTACTTGCACTAGTGATAACAGCTTAACATCCCCATGCCAACTTGTTCAGGTCAAGAGGTTTGAATTTCCAAATTGCAACCTTACCAACCAAACCTCAAAAATCAAGCTGTAGGGAGAAAGTCTGTACCATTTGTACAAAAGATAATCCAAGAGGAAACAGCTGTGCACCTCAGCAAATGATATTAAACCAATAATTTAAGCCAGAAGATTAATAAAGCTAATATAATAGATTGGTTAAAATTGCATTTGATTAACAACAAACAAAATTAGACATAGCAGGGCAGGGAGACAATAGTATTAATCATGAAGTAATAGGAACTTGATAGAAAGGCAACAAAAGGAATGCACTAATCGGGGATGGAGAGATAATTAGAAATGTCACATAGATTACTGTAAGTAAAATGGCTAAACTGATACGAAGGGCAAGTTTAGGGAATGCATTCGACACAGTTCCCTAGAACAATTTGTAGAACAGGCGTCAACCACACCCACTTTGACAAATTTTCCCTCCAACCCTACACACTGTCACAACTCTACCACTTCACTCTCAAATTAACAGATCTCTGATTCTCACTGTTCGAACCCCACCCTCTCCAGTCTCACTCTGGAGTTGAAGTACTGGGAAGAAATTTACATGAGGACAAAGAGTCTATGAAGGATTTAAACTGGTTTGGTGATTGGGCAAAAAATTGACAGAATCAGTAGGATTTGAGAGAATGTAAACTTTGGCAGGAGAGGAGAAAAACAGTAAACAATTTAAGTGGAGGAGTGCAAAACTCTTAAGTATAGTGAGACTTGGGGGTCCCGGCATAGGAACTACAAAATGTCAGCATGCAGGTACATCACCTGATTAGCAAGTTAAATGGAATGTTGTCATTTATTGCAAGGGGAATGGAATATATAAGTTGAAGACTTACATTATAACTGTAGATCTTGATGGGACCACATGCGGAATAGTGTACAGTTTCGATCTCCTCACTCAAGAAAGGATAGTATTAGAAGCAATTCAGAGAAAGCTCACTTGGATTATTTCTTTGGATGGAGGAGTTATCTTGTTTAGAAAGGCAGAGTTTGTATCCATTGGAGTTTAGAAGAACATCATGAGGAGACCATACTGAGAGGCTACTAACCACGTGACAGAGACGAGAACAAGAGGATATGGTTTAAAAGATGGGATTTTCCCATTTAAGACAAAGGTGAAGACAATTTTTTTCCTCTGTCAGGGCTATTGGTCTGTAGACTTCTCTTCTCCAGAGTGCAATAAAGGCTGGGTCATTGAATATTTTTAGGGCTGATTTAGATTCCTGTGTGATGAGGGAGTTAGATGACATAGGTGACAGTCTACAAAGTGAAGTTGAAGCCACAACCAGATCAGTCATAAACATATCAAATTGCAAAATGGCTTATTCTTGCTCCCAATTTGTGTATTTGCATGCTTATAAGTTGCAGAGTCAAGAAAAAGGAGGATATTTTAGATCTCATTTTTTCCAAGCAATGGGCCTAATTCGTAATCTCATAGTAAAAGATACTAGTCAGAGTGATAAAAAGACAGACTTCCATTTATATAGTGACATTCACAACCACCAGACTTCTCAAAGCATAGTGTGCATTAGCTGTGGCTCAGTGGGTAGCACAAATACTTCTGAATCACAAAGTTTCATGCTCAAGTTCCACTCAGTGATCCAGCAGAATATAAAGAATGACAGTCTACTGGAGTACTGAGGGAGCCCAATACTGTCAGAGGTAACAAAAACAGAAGTTGCTGGAAAAGCTCAGTAGGTCTGGCAGCATTTGTGAAGAGAAAAATCAGAGTTAATGTTTCAGCTCTGGTAACTCTTCCTCAGAGGTATTGTGTTTTCCATAACACATTGAACTCAGCATCCATCTACCTACTTGGATATTGTAAAATACACCACTGCATTACTTGGAAGGGCAAAGGAGTCATGACAATCAGATAGTGTGTTTTGAATTTTAATTGAGAAAGAAATATGAGCCAGGACACTAGGATGTTTTACGTTTGTTTGTTCCAAAAGATGGCACCTCTGACAGGACAGCAACATTTACCCTGCACTATAATTTCAGCCTAGATTTTTGAGCTCATATCGTGGAATGAGATTTGAAACAACAATCTACTGATTCTACTGATACTTGCATTCTCCATGCAGATGGCCTAAAAGCCCTCCGCTTCTTCCTCTTCCGCAGGCCCAACCAGTCCCCCTCCATTGACACCCTCATCCGCTTAACTGAACTCGCCCTTACCCTTAACAACTTCTCCTTCAATTCCTCCCACTTCCTACAGACTAAGGGGGTGGCCATGGGAACCCGCATGGGCCCAAGCTATGTCTGCCTCTTTGAAGGATACGTGGAACAGTTCCTCTTCTGCAACTACACTGGCGCTATTGCCTACCTCTTCCTCCGCCACATCAATGACTGTATCGGCATCACCTCGTGCTCCCATGAGGTGCTCGAACAGTTCATCAACTTTACTAACACCTTCCACCCCAACCTCAAGTTCACTAGGACCATCTCTGATAACTCTGTCTCCTTCCTGGACCTCTGTGTCTCCATCTCTGGTGACCACCTCGAAACTGATAACTATTTCAAGCCAACCGACTCCCACAGCTACCTAGTCTACACCTCCTCTCATTCACCTTCCTGCAAGAATGCGATCCCCTACTCCCAAATCCTCCGCCGCATCTGCTCTCAAAATGAGGCGTTCCATTCCCGAACATCCCAGCTGTCCTTGTATTTCAAGGATTGCAACATCCCCCCCTTCAGCGGTCGAAAACTCCCTCGACCACATCTCTTGCGATTCCCGCACCTCAGCCCTCACACCCCCTCCCCGCAATAAAAATAATTCCCCTTGTCCTCATGTATCACCCCATTAACCTCCAGATTCAACGCATCATTCTCCGCCATGTCTGTCACCTGCAATCTGACCCCACTACGGAGGATATATTTCCCTCCCTACCCTTATCAGCCTTCTGGAGGGACCACTCTCTCCGTGACTCCCTCATCCACTCCACACTCCCCACTAGCCCCACCACATTTCCCTGCAACTGCAGGAGATGCTACACCTGCCCCTACACCTTCCCCCTCACCTCCATCCCAGGCCCCTGAAAAAACCTTCCACATCAGACAGAAGTTCACCTGCACATCCGCTAATGTGGTCTATTGTATCCACTGTTCCCGATGTGGCCTCCTCTATATCGGTGAGACCAAGCAGAGGCTCGGAGACCGCTTTGTAGAGCACTTACGCTCGGTTCTCCATAAACAACAACACCTCCCAGTCACAAACCATTTCAACTCCTCCACTCCCTCGACGACATGTCCATCCTGGGCCTCCTCCAGCGTCACAACCACACCACCCGGAAACTGGAGGAGTAGCACCTCATATTCCGCCTTAGAAGCCTACAACCCAATGGTCTCAATGTGGACTTCACTAGCTTCAAAATCTCTCCACCCCCGACCTCATTCCAAGACCAACCCTCCCTCTCATCCCTGCCTCCTTGACTGGTCTGTCTTCTTTCCCACCTATCCACTCCTCCGACCTCACTGACCAATCCCCACCACTACCTAGCTGCTATCACCATCCCACCTACCTATCCCAGCCCAACCCCCCCCCCCCCGCTATTTATTTGAGCCCCCTTCCCCTCCCCCATTTCTGAATAAGGATTCCAACCCAAAACGTCAGCTTTCCTACTCCTCTGATGCTGCCTGGCCTGCTGCGTTCCTCTACCTCCACACTATGTTATCTTAACCTACTGATTCAGATGTGGTCTCACCATACATCATATAACTGAAGCATAACATCCTTACTTTTACACATAATTCCACTCATAATAAAGGATAACACATCCCATTAGTCTTCTTTATTACTTGGTGTATCTGCACATTAACTTTTCATTACTCATGCACTCAAAAACTCCCTCTACATCGCAGATCATACCATGGCAGATGCTGAAATTTGAATTCAATAAAAATATGGAATTAAAAGAAAAGGGTGGCTGAATAGCAACCATATAAACATTGACGATTGTTGTAAAAACTCATTTCGTTCATGAATTTCCCTCAGGGAAGGAAATCTGCCATCCTTACTGAGTCTGGTCTACATGTGACTGCAGACAAACAGCAATGTGGTTGACTCTCACTTGCCCTCTAAAATAGCCCTGTAAGCTACTTGGGTCAAAAACCAATTCAGGGTGGCAGTAAATGCTGATCCAACCAGTGATGCCCATATTCCATGTACGAATAAACAAAAACAATGTCTGCTGTCTGTACTCCAGGTCAATATCATGAGGGTTGGCCGGACATTAATACAAGTTGTTGGTTCGGGTTGAAGGTACTGGCTGAACCCAATGAACCATCTTTAACTGTTTCATCTCAAATAATCGGATAAAAAATTAGATTAAGATAAAGGAGACGATGTTGTAAGAGGATATTACTGTATGCGAACAAATATTTGAATAAATAACAAAATTCTCAATGAAATACCAAAAAACAAAAACTTCTCAGGAATAATGATCCAATTATGACTAACTAAAGAAAATGGGATAATATTAGATTAAAAGCCACAGCCAATGACGTTGAAATGCATAGTACCAGATTGAAAATTGCAAGTTTCATAGAAACCAAAGTAAAATTTTAAAAAAATCAATTGTGGGGAAAAAAGACCAAGAGTGAACTGGCAAGAAATGTGGAACTTTAGTAAACTTTTTTTCAGTATAAAAAAGGGAAAAGTGAGCAGTAAAAGTAAACACTGATCGCTTAGAGGCTCAGATGAGAGAAATTAGAATGGCAATTAGGAAATAGTAGAGGTATTAAATAACAACACTTACATAATGCTTTAGGTAATGATATATCCTGAGGCATTTCACATCGGGCCAAACATGACAGCAAGTCACCTGAGATAAGAATATGCCAGGTGACCAAAGGTTCAGCCAAAAAGGCAGAAATTAAGGAAAGCCTCTAAAGAACAATGTGAGATAGAAGGTCAGAGAGGAAAAAAACAGGGAATTCCAGAAATTGGGGCCCAGGCAATTGAAAGCATGGCTACCGATGATGAAGCAATTAAAATCATGAATGCACACAAGATCAAGCTAAGTGGAATATAAATAAGTGAGTGGATTGTAGAGCTGGAGGAAATGACAGAGGGCTAAAGCCAAATATGAGAATTTTAGAATCACAATGTTGCTTGACTGTGAGCTAATACTGGCTTGTGAACACAGCGGGGATAGGGGATTACAATTTGGTGCATGACACCACAGCAGTTGTAGCTTTTTGGATGACCTCAAGTTCCCAGAGGCCAGAAATGCATTGGAATAATCAAGCTTGGACTAAACAAAATGTGGCATTCGCAAGAATCCATCCTAAGTACTGGAGCAGGAAGGGAAGCCATTTCAAGTGATTCTCTGGCTATGGATAGATGTACAAGAATGAGGCAAGTACAATGAAATCAAGTGGAGGAACTAGTGCAGTCAACCGCATTGTAACTGTCAGAAAAATACTACGTGCCTGTCTTTTCAGTAGAAGACATAAAAGGCATATAAAATTGAGGGGAACCTAGGAATAAATGACAGTGAGGAATTTTAGCAGTAGGTGAAAGTTTCTCATGATAGGTTGGTCTATTTTCTTCTAAGGGGTCAGAGCATTTGTATTGCAGAGGGTGCACTGAACCTTCACTGGATTTGTTCCTGGGATGAGAAGATTGACCAATGATGAAAAAACGGGCAAACTTGGTTTATTTTAACCTGTGTTTCGAAGGATTAAAGATATCTCATTGAAACATGCAAGATTCTAAAGAGGCTTGACAAGGTACACAGAGTTTCATTTGGCTAGAACTGGGGGAGCACAACCTTAGGATAAATAGATCAATTACTCAAGACTGAGAGGATAAGATTCTTTTTTCCAGAGAGGCTGTGCATATTTGGAATTGTCTCACCAAGATGGCTGTGGCTGCTCAGTCAGTGATATATTCAATGCTGAGAGATTAACTTTTCATTTCAAGGAATCAAGAGAAATGGGGATTAAGTGCAATTGCATCAAAACTTAGTCATTAATCTACAGAATGGGAGACCAGGTTTTGTTTTTTCCTGGGGGGGTGGGGAGTAAGAGGGGTAGAGGTCAGATATTCTAATTCTGCTCTTCTTTTGAATGTTCTAAAATTAAGTAACAGTTACAAATTTCATTTGCAAGCAAAAGTCTGAGCTGCCAACACGAAGAAAAGATTAAGAATCAGATTCATGACCAAAAACAGTGGGAGGCACATTGCCAACATATTCCTAACAGTGACTTTAGTTATTCTAAAGAAAAGCACACAAGACGTATGACTTTCACTTGAAATGAATGGGCAGCTTTACTCCACTGCAAACTTAACTGCATGTGTTTTAGTAGATGAACAATCAAAACCAGTAACGAAATCTTCCCAGAAATAGTAAGAGCTGCCGATCCTGGAGTCAGAGATAACAGTGTGGAGCTGGAGGAACACAGCAGGCCAGCAGCAGACGAGCAGGAAAGCTGACATTTCCGGTTGGGGCCCTTCTTCAGAAATGGGGGAGGGGGAAAGGGAGCTCTGAAATAAATAGAAACGGGTGGGGCTGGGGAAGGTAGGTGGAATGGTGATAGGTGAGTGCATGTAGGCAGTGGTGGGGATTGGTCAGTGGAATGGGTGGGGCAGATAGGTAGGAGAGAAGATGGACAGGTTGTGTCAAGGAGGCGGGGATGAGAGGGAGCGTTGGTCATGGGATGAGGCCGGGGGTGGGGAGATTTTGAAACTGGTGAAATCCACATTGAGACCACTGGGTTGTCAGCTCCCAAGGCGGAATGAGGTGCTGCTCCTCCAGTTTCCGGGTGGCGTCATTGTGACACTGGAGGAGGCCCAGGATGGACATGTTGCTCAGGGAGTGGGAGGGGGAGCTGAAATGGCTTGCAACTGGAAGGTGTTGTCATTTGTTGCAAACAGAGCGCAGGTGCTCTACAAAGCTGTCTCCGAGCCTCCGCTTGGTCTCACCGATGTAGAGGAGGCCACAACGGGAGCAGCAGATGCAATAGACCACATTGACGGATGTGCAGGTGAACCTCTGTCTGATGTGAAAGGTTTGTTTGGTGCTTTGGATCAAGGTGAGGAGGATGGTGCAGGGGCAGGTGTAGCACTTCCTGCAGTTGCAGGGAAAGGTGCGGACGTGGTGGGGTTAGTGGGGAGTGTGGAGCGGATGAGGGAGTTACGGAGAGAGCAGTGCCTAGGGAAGGCAGATAGGAGTGGGGAGGGAAATATATCTTTGGTTGTGGGGTCAGATTACAGGTGCCAGAAGTGGCGGAGAGTGATATGTTGAATCAGGAAGTGCTACATCAGCCCCTACACTTGCCCCCCCCGCCCCCTACCTCACCTCCATCCAAAGCACCAAACAAACGTTTCACATCAGACAGAGGTTCACCTGCACATCCGTCAATGTGGTCTATTGCATCCCTTGCTCCCGATGTGGCCTCCTCTACATCGGTGAGACCAAGCGGAGGCTCGGAGACTGCTTTGTAGAGCATCTGTGCTCCGTTTGCGACAAACGACAACACCTTCCGGTCGCAAACCATTTCAACTCCCCCTCCCATTTCCTGGACGACATGTCCATCCTGGGCCTCCTCCAGTGTCATAACGATGCCACCCACAAACTGGAGGAGCAACACCTCATATTCTGCCTTGGGAGCCTACAACCCAATGGTCTCAATGTGGATTTTATCAGTTTCAAAATCTCACCAACCCTGCCCCATCCCATGACCAACGCTCCCTCTCATTCCCGCCTCCTTGACCAGACATAACTTGTTCATCTTCTCTCCCATCTATCCATTCCTCCCACCTCACTGACCAATCCCCACTACTGCCTACATGCACTCACCTGTCACCATTCCACCATTTCCCAGCCCCACCCCTCCTCTCTCTATATATTTTCAAGCTCCCTTCCCCCTCCCCCATTTCTGAAGAAGGGTCCTGACCCAAAACGTCAGCTTTCCTGCTCCTCTGATGCTGCCTGGCCTGCTGTATTCCTCAAGCTCCACACTGCGTTATCACCAAATCTTCCCAAGTAACATTCAGGATTCCAGGGGAACAAAAAAGTTACCTGTAGTGTCAGGTAATTGTGAAATCCCTCGCAGTGCCAAGGCCCAGGCCAGTCTGATCACAGCTTGCAAGCCTGTCAGTTTCCAAGGCTGGGAGTTCTGCAGTTTGCAATGGATAGCAGTGACGTACTGTCGTTCTGTCAACAATGGTAGCTGATGAATTAATTCTGATGAGACAAAATGTTTTAAACATTTAAAAAATATAGGAAGAATAACCTCATCTTTAGAATACTGATTGCATTCTATTCATTTTATTTTCCGGCCTATATCTCCAGTGAAACATCTGTCCTTCAATCTGTGCTGTTAATTAAACAGTGAAATGCCCAATTTTCATGCATGACCATACATACCGCGTATTTCACTAAGAGAGATGATCAGACCAATCATTTTGTCCATTGACATGCATTTTCTGGAGCGTGTCAGGGCAACTAGTGAAATCTGTCATCACCATTCCATTCAATCTTTCTATTTACAGTTTATGTTGTGGTCTGGGGGGGGGGTGAAATGAAGACCAGGAGATACGCAATTCGAATGCAGATGCACATTATCTAGACTTCTTACCAGATCCACTCTTTCACAGCAAAAGTCAACTTTGAAAGGGTCACAGTCAGCTACATGAATTGCTGGAACTGTAACATTTCACCTTTGTACCAATCCCATTAAGAAAGTACAGATCAGATGTGCTAGCCAACCTGCTAGTTCCTCACTCCACAAGAGTTGTTACACTATGTGTATCATGGCTAAAAGCACATGAAACCCGAGGGACTCATCATCCTACATCAATGAAACCTAAAACTCCCTATAAGAGAGTAAAGCTAACACACAAACACTGTAGTAAATTCAAATTAACTGTACCTTCACAGGGCATATCATACGTGCACTAAACACTTGCCATGAATTTTGAACTTAGCAACAGTGTATGTGTCCAGTTTTAACTTAGATGACTTGTCATATCAGAGGTACAACACATAAACAAAAATTAAACCAGACAAGTTTTCAATTATATCCCCAAACAAGCCTAATACAAATGGGAAAACCTTTGTTCAATTGGTTCCAAGTTTGTTGACTCAAGGGAGGAGGCACACCACTCAGTACAAACTAAGAATACCCTGACGGGTTTATTCAGCTACAGTAGGAATTTAGCTGACAAATACACAAATCAACCAGTATCAGTCAGAGGGATAGTTAATCACCTTGCTCTGTGCCTATCAAAGTCAGAGACAGTCACTGCATGTTGTCTCAACAGAAATTTCCAAAACCGTTATATTTTATATACACACACATTTTTAACAAAAGCACAATAACACAGATGCTAGAAATCTTAAAAAAAAGAGTTAATGTTTGAGGTTAATTATCTTTCATCAGAATTGCTGTGAACAGCCTGAAGCACCAATGCTGAACTGCAAGGTGTGCTGAGTATTTCTAGCAATTTCTGATTTTATTCACAACTGCTTTTAAAAGGTAAAGACATCAAGTATTATGCAGAATCAACACATCAGCAATTTAAGTTGAAGGACAGATCACTGTGACATATCAGATTGGGGAAACAGGCTCAGGGTATTCAACGGAATACTCCTTTGCAGTCTAAGGCTATTGGAGAAATTTGTCAGAGATTGGGCTTTGAATTTGGAATATAAGAAAGAAACAGGAAGTCATTTGAGCAACTTGTTTTGAGAAACTAGGATTATCAAATCTGCTGTCAATTTATACAAAGATTGGCTTACCTTATTTGTAACTTAATTGCGTTTGTTAGTTATCCCCAGCACACAACCTCAACATGCAACCAGACATGGTGAAAATGCAAACAAAATTTTTTGTGGTAATATCTCCAGAGAGCTGGCATTGGAAAGATTTCAAACACACACGCGGCCAAAGCCATTTCTTTCTCATGTTAAACTGGTTGCTCTTATACCTTCTCGATCCTCGGTGACGTGCTCCAAAAAGCTGATATCAAAGCAATACAGCAGTGCCATGAGGAGAGCCAAGTTCACATTTTCCAATGTACCATCAGCCTCTAGTGTGACACACTCCATGTGAGAAATCAAAAACAACGTGTCATCTTTGTTCAATGGTGTCTGACAGGCCCACGCGAAAAGGCAGTCCGCCAGAGACTGACGGCATTCCTTGATCAGATCAGAGACCTAGAGAATCAGCAGAGAGATGCTTTCACATCCTGCAAGATTTGAAACACATCACACACATTTTGTTCCAAAGAACGTTCACATGAGGCTAATGTAAACAAACAGAAAAATGACAGTGACACGTAGGTTTAACAGATTATTTTTATGCTTGGTGCCCTAATTCAAAGACATCCATGGTGCAAATATATTTTGCCTCTTGGGTACAGCAGAGTGAAGAAATGGAATGGGGAGACAGAGAGCGAGAGCGAGAGCGAGAGCGAGAGGAAAGAGAGATTTGGATCTCAAATACAGGTAAGACTTGAACATGGCTGGTTTAAGGCTACATTTAGCTCCTCGGTTAACACAGCAGTATAATTAAAACTATTGTGTTGTGGGAGCATAACATCATACAAGATAATACTGAAATTATTTAAAAGTGAGAATCATATCTGAAGCAAAAGCATTCAAGAGCTTTTGAGAGTCTAAAATATGGATAATACTAATAAACATGAAGAACATAAATTTGGTAGTGGCAGGTTGGAATTAAGCAAGGCCATATTTACACTCAGTTGATACTGTGGGATCAGATTATGTGAAGAAAACAATCCTATTCCTATTTATACCAGGTTGTTTCTGTCTATATAAGGGGTCCAAAAGACTTTCAATAATGAGGCACAAGGAAAGTACAGCTGACATTTGGGAAAGATTCACAAGAAAGAGATTTAGGATGGTAGGGGAGGGAAGAGAACCTGGGGTTTAGAGGCACAATGGAGTCAGTTGGGAGGTGCAGAGGTTGCAAACACAGGCTGGAGGGTTGGGAGTGATGGATGTGTGGTTGGAGGATGCAAGCTGTCGGGGTAAAGAGTTACAGGAAGATGTAGGATTTAAGGGGCAGGCAGGTTTCAAGCAAAGGGTAAAAGAGAAGGGTTGAAAACCATTTGCTTTAAATTTTGGGAGAGGGTTTTGCAAGCAGAAAGCTCTCCAAGACATGCACAGTTTCTCCAGTCACTCTAATTAAGGGGAGTCAATCATCTCTGGTACCATTCTGATGAACTTCCTTTGCATCCTCTCCAGAGTCTTGACAGCTTTCCTCAACACTGCAGCTGTAGTCTAACCAGAATTTTATAAAGTGTCAGCCTAGCCTTCTTGCTTTGATTTTTGTTCTTGTTTCTAAAGCCACAGATCCTGTACACGCTTACTAAACAGTATTTCTAACATTCGAAAACACGAAAACCAACTCCTCCATCAACTACTAAATGAAAGAAATGCAAATCAAAGAAATTGTACTCTTACCCCTTTGCGATGAGACGCATTGCCCAAGCCACGGGCAGTTTGCAGTTTTTCAAACTCATTATTGAGGTTTATTTGATTGATCAAACACAACACCTTCTGAGTCAGCCCCTGCTCCATCAATTCGTCGGTAAACCGTGTTGTCATGGAAACAAGCTCTGAACTGCAAAGAGTATTGAACTTTTACTCCTAAGGTGTGAAATGATTGTTCTCTTCTCAGTAAATTAACTTAGTCATGCACCTAGAACCCGAGTCACTTTTAACCATGAGAATAAATCAATGGATTAATGCATTTGAAAAATTGTATTTTCAATGAAGTAATATGAAAAATATTCCACAAAAAAGCTTGCTTTGTGTAACATAAACTGGTAATGCACAATCTCTCCACTTGAGAGGTCCTCTGTCCCAAAGCAAATACACAATGGGGTCAATTTCAGCTTATCACCAAGACCTTCAGTAAACTGGCCTCTTCCTATTCCCAGTTCTAACTTGGGTCATTGAGCAATTATCGTGCTCCTTTTCAAGTCAACCAAATTAGAGCCAATTCAGGACTCAACGTGTGATCTTGCTGGTATATGTGTCATTTAACACACCATGCAATAAAACTAGTAAGTAGCCGCATTATTGAAGTTAAACAGAAAGACATTGTCATTACGTCACGACCATGTAGAATCCCACATACTGTGTGTTCTCTGTCATACTTTTATTTTTAAACAATGCTGTTTGATGAGCCCGCAAGCAGCAGATTCAATAATGGTACGAATTTTGAAGTTTTATTTTGTATTTATTTCATTTTTCAGGGTTATGAACTGACCTGAGCTCCAGAGTCCATGTTTTGCCTTGTCGCGATTGTATGAGGGAATGCAAAGAATTTGCAATGCACCTCTTTCCATCCCAATAAAGCAGTATAGCCACCAAGCCACGTGTCAAGCCAGGAAAACGGGGCAGCTGATGTTCACCTGTAAGACAAATATGTTCAAGTAAGAGGTATTCATGGTGCAGCTGAAAATCGACCACCAATCTGTTTGGCAAATGATGCTTGGACAGCAGATATTTGACAACAGATCAAAGTATGACAAGAAGAATGACCTATAGGTAACACACAGCCAAAGAAGCCAAAAAGCTTTTCAGAGTTGAAGAGAGAATGGTGACAGAGAAGAGTTTTAGAAAACAATTGCAAAGGTTGAGGTGGCTGTTTACTTGAGTTACACAAACAGCACTTGAAGACGATGACTCAATGTCAAGTCGACACCGATTTTTTTGCATCTCTACTCAAGTTTAAGAGAATTCTACAGCAGGCAAATTAATTGCATTCCAGTGGCCAGGTAATGCCAACATTGGTTCCTCCTTAAAATAGCCAGTCCATTCCTATAGTTCTTCCTGCTCCCCTTCATTGTAGGAAGAGAACTAACCACCACCTGACTCCTATTTCTATCACTTTTGAAATGAAGAACTCGCTTTGCAACAATTACAGACAAAGGGTGCCTACGTTCAAGACTTAAGATGCAGATTTTCCAAGGTAGCTCTGAAGGAGTATGTTGCCTGGGCTCACATTTCAATAACAAGTTTGGAAGATACTCAACTTAAAACCCACTCATATTTTGAAACCTAACTTAGAATTACGCAAACAAAAACGTATCAAATTCAAAGAAACTGAAGTTGGTGTAAATCTGTCAGTGTGGACTGGCACTACAATTTCCCAAAGTTCAAATCTTACTTCACCACACCAACTGCAACATCAACACACTACATTTGGTACTCGGAACAGATTGTTTTTGAAAAAAAATTTGGTCCTGCTGGATGCTGGCCTTGGGGAAATCTGGCTGGTTCACACTGCCATTGTGAGACTCGTACTTTGGGAATCAACAAGGAAAACACTTGACTGACATCAACACAAAAGCAGTTTATTAACTGGAAACACTGGAACCTGCAGCAAATGGAAATAATTGTTAGGGAAAGCATTCCATGCTGCAGTTAGAAAATTCTGATCAAATGTTTATGAAGGATTAATCCAAATACAAAGGAACAATTACAACTGGATCAAAATTGAAGAATCAAAGCCACTGTTCATCATTCGACTCCACAAGGTGGCGCCTTTCCATTGACATGTTAAACAAGGGCCCCATCTGCCCTTCAGCTGAAGGTTAAAAAAAATCACCTGGCTCTATATGAAAAAGAAGCAGGAGAGTTCTCCCTGGTGTCACAGACAAGATTAGCTGCTTTTAATGATGTTGGTTGAGGGATAATCTACTCGCCAACACATTGTTGTTTGTGGAGCTTACTGTGTGTAAATTGGCTGCTGCATTTCTCATTGCCCAACAATGATAACAGTTTAAAATGATTTAATTGGTTAGCATTAAATAAAGCACTATAGCGAAGCAAGACTTTCTTCCTTTAACACACAGAAGTCCCAGAAAAGAATAATTGAATTAGGTCACTATGCAGTGAGCTTTGATTTTAGGTGACGAAGGGATGTGGGTGGATGAAATAACACATGAACAGTTCAGGAAGAACAGAGATGAAGAGGAGAATAGACACAAGCAGCACTAGAGGGAACATTATAGCTGAACAATAACCTGTGCAATTTCCTTTGTGAATTGTTCGGATAAAGTACACAGAGATAGAAGCACTAATGACAAACAGTCCTGTGTTCAGCTACCAGAGTTTGAAACACTATTTTGGTAAAGCCTGTCACCAGGATCGCAGAATAACTTCAAAAGTACAGACCTGCCAGCAGTAACTCCACTGCAGAAAGTTCTCCGATGTCGAAGAGGTCACTCAAAATAAAAGCCTCGCTGATCAGCTGTTCTGGAAGCAGCCTGGTTCCTTGCTGACCTTGGATGGCAATACCTTCAATGCTGGCTTTCTTCACCTTCTCCCGGTGCTGTACATTTTTAGCCTGAACCAAAAAACTTAAGGTAAATCCCCATTAAATCCAACTTCACGAGCACCCTCCTGTCAGATCAATACAATGATTAAAATGCAGTTTCGATATTTGCTCCCTCAGATTGCTACAGTCTAAAGATGTGCGGGCTAGGTGGATTGACCATGCTAAATTGCCCATAGTGTTCAGGGAAGTGTAGATTAGGTGGATTATGGGGGGGATGGGTCTGGGTCAGGGTCAGGGTCGGTGTGGACTTGTTGGGCCGAAGGGCCTGTTTCCATACTGTAGGGATTCTATGATTACTTTTTCTCAGTTTTATTACTCGAATCAGTGTGATGACTGCTGCATTAACAGCATGTCACAAGAACTGGAAATTATAGTTGTTTATTACAAGAGCCATAGCAAAGGATTAGAAGTTCAATTCTCAATATTTTCAGTGAGCTGGCCTGATATATGAAAACATATGTTGGAAATACATCAGTCTATTGGAGACTGGAGGATTTTGTGGTTGGGTTTCTGTTGATTTACCAGGCTTTTTATTTGGATTCTCAACTCTGCATGGATCATTTTCTTTCTTTAAATAAGGTGAAACTGAGACAGACCTTCAGGCCTCCTGTTTCCTTTGCGTAGCTGATAACCCTGTTTGTGATCCACCTGCATGCCTCCACTGATAGAAATTACAAAATAAACAGGTGTGAAAAACTCACCGGATTCTTGAAGAGAGAGATGAAGTCTGGCTTGTGCTTCTTGAGTGTGAGGTCCAACAGGTGAACAGCTTCTGGAACACGCTTCCAGATCACATTCTCCACTGTCTGCCAGATCTCTTTGTACGGCCCCCACAGACTGGCAGCTACAGCACACAAAATAAAAGCCAGTTGGCGATGTGAACATTACTCATTCATGGCCACTTTTTTTCAGGAAAATTCTAAGATATATAAGGAGTTACGTTCAGTAAGCTTCATGATGTGAAAATTAGCTCATGTGAGAATTTTGTATTCAGCCATAATGCCCTTCAGCAAGCCATGAAAGGGCAACATAATTCAGGTGCCTCATTCTACGGAACAGCAAGGACTTCATAAATATTAATAAAATAGTTTCTGTTGGAGATCACTACTGACCCAACTTTTAAGATCCTGAGCATTCAGGACTGAGAACCTTACTCATAAGGCAGACACCCAAACCAAAACAGAATGAGAATTCAAAAATCCTCTGTACCATTTGACCAGTACACCAAAAGATAACTCAAGCACATGTTACTGAGATGCATACTACTCAATGAACCATATACAACACTGTACATTTCAACTGAATTGTTCCAACCAGGTTTCAGATTTAGAAAAATACACTGAATTCATTCTCATTTAAGCAATTTTTTGGGCAGGGAGAATGGTAAAGCAGCTCTTTTTAAAACAAAGTAAATTATGATAAACATTGAGAAACTCTGGGTGATCTTGCACATGAACCACAGGTAACATTCAAGTACAGCAATTAGGAGGGTATAGCCTCTAGTGCAAGGGGATTGGAGTAAATAGACTTTCTTGTGATTATATGGGGCTTTAATGAAGCTGTATCCAGAGTATGGTGTTCAGATTTGGTCTCCATACACAAGAAAGGATGTTCTTCCTTTAGTCAAGATTGAATGAAGCTTAGGATTTATTTCTAGCATGACGGTTAGCCTATGAGCAAAGTCTATTTTTGCTGGAGGTCCAAAGAGGTGATTGCATTGAAACATACAATTCCTAAGAAGGATTGACAGAGAAGATGCTGAGAGGCTGCTCTCCTCAGTCAAGGATCACAGTCTAACAATGAGGAGGTCAATAATTACACATGAAGTCAGGAGAAATTTCTTCACCCAGATGGCTGTGAATCTTCATAATTCACGACCTGTATATTTTTGGCTGTAGATGTAAACTAACAGATTGTTGGCACTAAGGGAAACAAAAGGAAAATAAGCAGGAAAATAAAATTATGTAGAAGATCTGCCATGATCTTATTGGATAGAATGTACAAAGTGTGTGTACTCCTTATACTTATTAATTATTTGGCAATATGTTTGGGTATTTCACACATTAAAACATGCTGAATAAATGAAATCTTTATTCAATAAGTCAAACAATTTCTATTACATGATGTTCCAATGATTTTTAGGAGTGTTTTAGATCTTGAATTTGCAGTTCAACCAATTTATCTGTGAAAAACGACCTCCTGTACTTAAGCATAATGTAGAAAATTACATTAGCCGAAAGGATAAAACTTCAAACAATGTTATTTGAGAAGTATTTGCTGAGCGACGTGAAACAATTGACAAAAATTTTTAAAACCTAATCTTAATGTTTGACACAGGTCCATAAACTTCTAAAATTCTAACAAGACAAGACAGGGTAAACACACCAAGTAAGTTCCCAATGACTGGGGAGCCCAGAACCTAGTCTAAGGAGATGGGCTAGGCCATTTAGGAGAGATGAGAAAAAATATATTCACGGAGAGAGTGGCGAGCCTATGGAATTCTCTGCCCAAGAAAGTGTTTGCAGCACAAACATGTTTTGAACAAGGAGTTGGATAACAGTATAACTGCTCCTAATTCAGCTGGAATTCAGATTCCTTAGCCTGTGCAGCAACTGAAAAATATTACACCAGTGAATAGGACTATAAGATATAGGAGCAGAATTAGGCCATTTAGCAAATGGAGTATGATTCACCATTCAATCATTGCTGACATGTTTGTCAATCCCTTTCTCCTGCTTTCTCCCCGTAACCCTTGATCCCCTTCCCAGTCAAGAACCTACGTATCTTGGTTTTAAATACATTCAATTACTTGGCCTCCACAGTGCTCTGTGACAATGAGTACCAGAGATTAACGACCCACTGACTGAAGAAATTCCTCCTCATCTCAGTTCTAAAGAGTTATCTCTTCAAACTGGGGCAGTGCTCTCAAGTCCTAGTCTCTCCATTAGCGGAAAAAATTTCTCCATGTCCACTCTTTCCAGGCCTCTCAGTATCCTGCAAGTTTCAATCAGACACCCCCCTCCACCCCCAATCCTTCTCATTTCCATTGAGGGCAGACCCAGAGTCTTCATCTGCTCCTAATATGACAAGCCCTTCATTCGTGGGATAATTCTTGTAAACCTTTTCTGGACCCCCTCCAAGGGTCAGAAATAAGCACCTATCCATCCAAGGCCAGTCCATGCTTCCTTAGATAAGGAGCTCAAAACTGCTCCCAATTTTCCAAAGGCAGTCTAACCAGAGCCATATACAGCCTCAGCAGTACAACCCTGTTCTGTATTCTAGCCCTCTCAATGCCAACATTATATTTGCCTTCTGAATTGCCAAGTGAAACTGCATGTCAGCATTAAAAGAATCCTGAACGAGGACTCCTAAGTCTCTTTGTGGTTCACATATCTCCACTAAAAAATAGTTTACGCCCTCTATTCTTCCTACCAAAGTGCATTACCTCTCACTATCAGATTGTATTCCATCTGTCACTTCTTTACCCAATAGCCTAACTTGTCCAAGTCCTTCTGCACTCAGGTGTTGTTTTCTGTGGCTAAAGTCAGACCACACTGCCAGATACCGAGTAGGGAAAACTTCACCATGCATCTGCTTCGGTTACATGTGCTCTCAGTGTACTGGTAGCCAACGCATTGCCCGAAATGGGAAAAGTTACATTCTTTATTTTGAGTACAAAAAAGATAGGTATTGAGCAGGAATGCTTAATTGCTTTGCTTAGAAAACGTTGTTGGATCTTCAGAACATCATCCATTCAGGTGAGTTGTTAAGATCCTAGATGATGTGGCTACTGGTCTTGTCAGCTCGCAAAATGAAATCTGTCTTGATAGACCATATTTTTTCTGATTTATAAAATTCAATTCAGTGGTCTTTCACTGGAACACAAGCATACCAGGCTGCACATTTGGTTTTCACAATTATCAGAGGATGTTTTTTTTAAGAAGTTAAAATAACCAAACCAAGCCATGGAAGTATCATTTCAAAATGAATGGCAAAACAAAGCCCCATCTACCATCCCACACTCCCACTTTACACAAACAAAATTCAGAGAAATTCCTTCCCTATCAATTCTATATGTTTATCGTGACTGCTTCTTTTCAGTTCTGATCCAGTAAGTGTGAAGGCTTTTCCTTGAATATTCACACATAAAGAAAAAATGCATACAACTGAAAGCTTAGACTTTCTCAGCCTCAAATAACCAATTCAGATTTCTAACCAAATACTCCTGTTCTGCAAGTTTCACGAATTACATTCTTTTGCTGAGGCAGTTTATTTACTTAAGAGCTCTGAACAACTTCCTGCTCTCTAGTGGAGAGTATATTTACTCCTGACCCGCGTTGTCACCTTCATTTAGCATTTGAGCTAAATTTAAAACAAAAACGTGCTCAATCAAGCTCTGACGAAGCAAATGGTTTCATATTTTCTCTCTCTGGTCATAAACCTCTACAGTATAAACAAACATCCATATACATGCCAGGAAATTTTTACATTTGTTCTGACACATTTGGCTTTAAAAAAACCATGCAAGACTGACCTAATTACTTTTTAAATACCTTCACAAAAATAAACCAACATCTATATGCCACTTGTTTAAAATCAGAGTTCTCAAAAATCATATATATGTTAATCACATTTCATGACAATGCTCAAAATGTCAGTGATATCTACCCTGAAGACCTAAGTAGGCAAGGAAAAGGACATATTTGTGGCTTTTCTTGCTCTCAGAAATAAGTACCTATCCATCCATGGCATTTTTATTCAATTACGAAGTGGTTAGTGCGTTTTACCACTGATACTCAAACTTGAAAACAATATGTTCTTGGCGCATTTGTCCATTTATTAATTTATGACAAGCCCTTTAATGGTAAATTCTCTTCACCCTTTCCCTCACTTGCTGACTCCTTTTACCGTCTCCCTAGACTTTTTCCTCTCATTCCTTCCTCTTCCTCATTGCTTACCACTCTCCCTTCCCAACTCCTTCACCACCCCATTCCTCATCATCCATCCATCTCTCACCCAGTCTTCCTCGACCATTCCCTAAATCATTCACTATTTTTCAATAGGCTTCAGTAAGCATCACATATTCAGGAGGGAAAGATCATATGTAGTGTGAGACACAGCCCGAGTGAGTACATAGTTCAGGAAATTTGCAGGCAACATGGCAATAGAACAGGATAACTTGAAGAAACCGAAAGAACTGTGGATGCTGTAAATCAGGATCAAAAACAGAAGTTGCTGGAAGAGCTCAGCAGGTCTGGCAGCATCTTGTGAAGAAAAAAAATCAGAGTTAACGTTTCGGGTCCAGTGACCCTTCCTCAGACCATTCTGAGCTTTTCCAGAATAAATTGAAGCCCAGGATTGGTGTGGTAGTGACATGACGGGTAAATCTTGAGTTGATTGGTTGACGATAGCTACTACTTTGACCGTTTGTTATAGGTTAGTTTCAGATTGAAGGTGGAGAGAGAAAATATTTACAGGCTACAAAATTAAAAGACCGACACAAAATTTTGGAAAACAAAAATTAAGCACTTAGTAAATAAATTAGAAATGCAGGGCCAGGTGATGTATTGTGCTTATGTGATGAGGGAGCAGGCGGACTCTATTGTGGCTAATAGTGAGCATAGCTGCAGTGCTTGTTGCTTGAGGAACTCTGACTCAGGGTCGATGAGCTGGAATCTGAGCTTCAAATACGACACATAAGAGAGTTGCCCGGATGGCAAATTTCAGGAGGCAGTCACACGCCTTAGATTAACTGCCTCGAGTTTGATCAGTGGTTAGGGCCAGGAGGGTGTCAACAAATTTGTGGGTATCGCAGAGACGTGCCTGCAAGGGGAAAGAGGGCTGGGAATTAAATTTTCAAGGATACACATCTTATCAAGAAGACAGAGCAATGGGCAGGGGTTTGCCTTGTATTGGTAATAAGAAATGAAATTAAATTGATAGTGAGAAGTGATACAGAGTCAGAAGGCGTAGACTCTCCGGTTATAGAGTTGATGAGCATAAAGGAAAAATGTGCTGATAACAGTTATGTACAGACCTCCTAGCAGTAGTCAGGATGTGGGGCAGAAAATAAACCAGGATATAGAAAGACACTGTTACAATAATCATGGGGGACTTCAATATGTAGGAGGATTGGGAAAATCTAATTGGTAGCAGATCTCAAGGAAAGAAATTTATCAAACATCTACAAGATGTTTTTTGGAGCAGCTTGTGGTACAGCCCATGGGGAACAGGTGATTCTGGATATGATGTGTAGTGAGGCAAACTTGATTAGGGAGTTAAGGTTAAGGAACCCGTTGGGGGGCAGTGACCATAATACAATAGAATTCACCCTGCAGTTTGAGAGGGAGAAGCTGGAATCGGATACAGAGGTATTACAATGGAATAAAGGTAACAACAAAGTCACAAGGGAAGAGCTGGCCAGAGTTGATTGGAAGGCAAGTCTGAGAGATTTGGGGGTAATTTTGGAGGCACAGCAGAACTTCATTCCAAGGAAGAAGAAACTTATTAAGGGGTGGAGGAGACAACCATAGCTGATAAGGGGAGTCAGGGATAGCACGCGAGCAAAAGAAAAAGCACATGAAGTGGTGAAAATTAGTGGGAAGCCTTTAAAAACCAGCTGAGGATACCTTAAAAGAAAAATCAATTCGGGGAGGGGTGGAGAGAAGATGATACGAGAGAGTTAAGCCAGATAGCAACATGTTTTTCTTCACAGATGCTGCCAGACCTGCTGAGTTTTCCAGGATAAATTGAAGCCCAGGATTAGGGCCCAGCAGAAAGATTGCAGGAGTCATTTTTCTCGATCTCTAAAGCGTAAGAGGGGGACAAGAGTGGACATTGGGCCAGTATAAGACGAGGCTGAAGTAGGAATGGAAAACAAAGAAATGGCAGGGAAATTGAATAGATGCTTTTATCAGTTTTCACAACTGAAGACACCAGAACTTCAACAGAATTAGGGGCAGAGGTGAATGTAGTGGCCACACTAAGGAAAAAGTGCTGGGTAGCCTGAAAGATATAAAGATGGATAAATTCCAGGTGTCATTATTCATTATTATCTGGATAAAGGTGCTGATGGCTTTGTTGCCAGGTGTGCAGATGTCACAAAAATATGTGGAGGTACAGATAGTGTTGAGGTAGCAGGAAGGCTGCAGGACGACTTGGACACCAACCCAGCCACCTCCCACCCATCCTCCCCACCCCCACCTCTCTTCCACCTCCCCTCCAACCGCCACCTCCCCGCTCTCCCATCGGCCCCACCCCCACCCCCACCCAACCACCTCCCTGCCCTCCCATCGACCCTCCCACCACCTCCCGTCGTCCCCTCCCACCCACCGTCACCCATCGTCCCGTCCCCTCCCCAACCGTCGTCCCCACCGTCCCCATCATCCCCACCCCACACTCACCTATCGTCCCCAGCCCCATCCAACCACTTCCCCCATTCTTGACTTGATCCCTGTCCCTCGCTCGCTCGTTCGCTCTTCCCTCTATTGCCCCCACCCCCCGCATCCACCCCCTTTCCCGGATCAGGCAGCCACCCCACGCCTTTCTTGCTTTCTTTCCCTCCCCCGCCCATTCTTCCAGCTGAATTGTTGTCTTCATTTGGAAGATGAAGAAACGCGGCCTGGGGTCGGGTGATTGTGGGTGAGCTGGGGGCTAACTATCCCGCATGTTAGAGTCAGACGGTTGAAAGACCTCCCTCCCTCCCTGCCTCCCTCCCTGTGGGGTGTTGTGCGTGAAGGGCGGACGCTGAGGCTTGTATTTTTTTTTCCTGTCTTCACTCACTGACCTGAATTTACCGCCATGGTCCTGGCCGCCATCTTGGAGAGGAACCGGAAGCGAAAACCTCCAGATTGTCGTGGGGGAGGAGGGAGGGTGTCCTTCTCGCCAAACAGCCCAACCGTGCCCACACACGGTGACAGAGAGGCCACCCGTTAACTCTCGAGTCAACGGCTACCTCCCCAACCCGAGATCTGCCCACGCCCGGCCCTCAATCGGGCAGGCCTGGGGGAGGCACGTGACGGTCCTCACAATCCCAGACTACAACTCCCAGTATACCCTTACGCTACCACACCGGAAGTGACCCCCTCTCTACCCCATCTTCCCCAATTAAAATATTTCCCCAAATTTCAATGGGTGAACCTTTTAGAAAAAGCGCGTTTCATGATTGCATCGAAGAAATAGTGGTTTCGAGACAGTAAGAAATTGTCGTGAAGAGATGTTTGAAAAATGTCTGGGAAGCCAGCCGTGAGAGCCTGTTTCTGGGAAATGTAGGCTGCCGGGCCGGGTTTGCTTGACGCTGCGACGGATGGACTACACGTCCCACAGTGCACGGCGGACGACGGGCCCCGGGGCGGGGCTCCGAGTGAAAGGGTAACGGTTGCCGGTGTATGGGTCGGCGCATGCGCGCTTGCCTTTCTGCGCAGACTCCGTCTCGCGTTTCCTAAGGGAGAGGAGAAAAAAAGATGGTGGCTGGTGTGTAAATTGGAGCAGCGCTGGAGATATATAATTATATATCAAATTATCCGCAATACAGGAGTGGAGGGAGCCATTCCGAGCAAGAAGACATACAGAGGAAGGGGTGGGGAAGAAACAAGGAAAATCAAGCCCCTTTCCCAGAAAGCTAAGACCAGCAGAGAAGCAGACAGATCCAGGGAAAGGACAAGAGCGTTGGGAGCTCCTGCTGAGTTTGAACTGTGAGTCGGTGAGGGCTGAGAGGGAGAGAGACTTGGGGAGCCAGGCACCCCAGCTATTTACTACTACCCGGAGGCTTCAGCGATACAGCCAGGCCGCGCTGGCCTGCCTCTACCCTCTCCCCACCCCCCCAACCATTCCTCCTCCAGCATCACCGGGGAGCGGCACCACGCCGGGGATTCACCGGCAGAGGGGGGAGAGCAGGCCAGCGGCCGGCTTGGGAGAAAGCCTGTCCTCTTCATAACATTAGAGAGTTGCAATTGCTTTGAATGTGGTGAGAGGAGAGGAATTCGTGTGCTTTTCCTTACCCTCAACCGTTCAGGGGTATCTCCGGGAAAGGTTTGTCCGTCCTTCTCCAAAGCGCAATTTTTATTTCTCCTTTGTACAACCTTTGTGAATTTGCAACATTTCGTTCTTTTTTTTAAAACCTAAAGTTCATTCGCACCTTTTGCAAGTACGTTTAGGGATGGGCAGCGTGTCTAACTTAGCGGGAAGTCTTGTTCTATTTTTGCTTATGAGCAAGTAGGCATGGAACAGGCCAACATTTCGTCTTAAATGTTGCTTCATTGTTAGCAGTTGGGAGGAGTTTATATAAATGAACACAAGGTATGAAGGTTGTTATTTATTTGTCTGGGAATAAGTACAGGCATTTTTGCCCCTAAAAGATGAGCAACAACCATGAAGAACTTTTCAAACAGACATGACTCTTGTTTTTTTTATGTTTCATACTTTATATCTTGGTAATTACAAAGGTTTGATTTATTGAAATTAGAATTGTTCAAGTTTAATTTGGGGAAAATAATGTATGTGTTTCAGGGAATTATAAGTTTGTTTTTGAAGAAAAAACATTAATGTACCAATGAGCTTTGAAGCAGTAACTGAAGCATGAGAGTTTGTGCATAAATTGTTAGTGGGAAATGGAAAGCAAGAGCAGTTGGTCTGATCAAATTGTAAAATAGAATACAAGTTGTGTAGAATTTTTGTCAACATTTTTATGTCCCTAACAGAAGGAAGAGAGTAATTATTACAATTTTGGCTTAAAATTCTGAGGCTGGACTTGCATGAGAAGTCGGACAAAATGGGGGTTACTATGGAGGAATGAAAGCATCATTTTGCCTATATTAACTTTAATTTAAATGAAAAATATATTGATACAGCTGTGTTTTTCCCGAACCTTGTCGTGATGGTCTGTCTTGAATGGTTGCTGTCCTATTTCCGTGGTGCTCTAAATCTAATGCAAATTGTCATTTAACACTTCAGTTTGTAAAACAAAATACTCACAAAAATTGTAACTGACTCTTGGGAAATCTAATGTAGGGTAGTACCTGTTGACAGCCTTGGTTAACTGAATAAACATGGTGCTAAATAAAAACCAAAAGAACTGCAGATGCTGTAAATCAGGAACAAAAACAGAAGTTGCTGGGAAAGCTTAGCAAGTCTGGCAGCATCTGTGAAGAAAATATCAGAGTTAACGTTTTGGGTCCAGTAACTGGACCCAAAAACATGGTGTTATCTAGTACTTGTCATGGAAGAATGATCAACCTATGCAGCAGCAATAGGATTTTATGGATTGCAAAATCTAATCAGGGTGAGTAGTTTGCAGTGTTATGGTGGATGAGAATGTTCCTGCTGTGTATATTATGCAAATTTTGTTCTAATGTATCATAATGAAAGGGGATGGCGTCCACACAAATCTTTGCCTCACTTACTTTCTCTCCCTTATGCCAAGACCTTTTGCTCATTGCTATGATACAGTGCTGTCATATTTGATCTGGGTGGTCATAATTCATGTGCAAGGCTCACCAGGGTGAAACAGGAGACACTGTATTATTCTCCCCACCCAAAGGTGATGGTGCCATTTTTGAAGCACACCAAACTGACTCCATAAGTTTAGTTCAAAGAAGGCATTCAATCTGGGATCTTTGTAAATGTGATTCAGGTGTTCAGCAGAACTTGCTGAGCCTGTCCAAATAGTTTTTAAATCTGTTTGTATGTCAGTTAAACTAACTTGGCTACTGCAGGCTGTTTGTTCCATGGTGAGACATATGAGTGCAATTCTGAATTTTAACATTGAGCTTTGTTTGACTGGTCCTTCTGTTGGGGTGATGTTTCAACAAATTTGGTCCAACTAAGATGGATTAATTTTGGCTATTAGCATTAGTCTGAGCTGTTTTGTGTTTTAAGGTACACTGAACCTGTACCATTTAGTATAAAAATAGACATTCGTTGTCTGCACTAGTGGTTCGTGTTGTTTCTGAAAAACGCAGACAAATCCCCGTAATAATGGTTTATTTGTGTTCCATTTGTTCCTACGTTATATACAAATTAGGTGCAGGGTTAGGCTTATTTGGTTGCTTGAGCCATTTTCACCATGCAATGAGAACGTAGCTGATGTGATACTGCAAATTCTCATTACCTACAATAACCTTTCATGTTTGTTTACCAAGAAACTCTGCTGTAATATTCAAGGACTCTGCTTCCCCTACTGAGAAGCAGAAACCCAAAGGTTCATGAACCTCGAAGATTTCTTCTCATGTGAGTCTTAAACAGGCAACGTCTTGTTTTGAAGCAGGGACCCCGAGTTCTAGATTCTTGCACAAGCATCTTTTCCATAAGTAATATTGAGGGGGTTTGACTCAGTGCATGCTTCAATCAGGTTACTTATTCTTCTGAACAACAGTGGCTACAAGCCTTGTCATCCAAATTTTCTTACTAAGATAAGCTGCCTAGTTCAATTTTAGTATGGTAAAACTTTTCTAAAATCATTCCGAAGCATTTAGATTCTTCCTTAATTAAAGAGACCAGTAATGTGGTTTCACCAATGTGCTGTACAATGAAAGCATAATCTTTTACGTTAGTATTCAGTGCCCCTCTCAATAAACAATAGCATTAATTTAGCTTTCCTAATTCAGAATTGTACTTGGAATAAATATGCATGAATGAATGCTCAATTATGACAGCATAATTTGATAGCTTTGTGGTTGAACACCTTACTGACATTCAGAGTCACCAGAGGAAGTATGATCTCTTTGACCAAGCTTTAGAGTGTACCTGTCTCAGTGCAGGTCTGTGCTTCCAGTTGTGTATGCAGACAGGGGTAACGAATAGCTGCAATGATTAAAAATTTTGTTGCACGTTTTGTTAGATTTTGCACAGCGTCTTTGAAATTATAGCTAATCTAATAAGAATGTGTGAAATTCATTTTGTCACATCACATTAAATAGGTTTTCTGGCTTCATAGCCAAAAGCTTTTGCAAAATCCCCATCTTAATATGTACAAGTCATGCAATGGACTGTGCCCTGCAATAGCCACCTATTCACTGTACTTAACTGATTTGACACAACTTCATTGCCTTGGAGGACTGAAAACTGGAAACACCATGAAAGATTCCTTTATGAATCAGCATTGTTAATTGTGTGTGTTCTGTTTGGATAACTTCGTAATATACACAGCCCAATAAATACTTACAACTTTGTTGTGCAGTAATCTCAGTGCATTCTTACTGCCCATCTAGCCAGCTTGAACATTTAGAATTCTCTTCAGTTTTCTGTTTTTTTACTCAGTGTGGCATTCAGAGTTAATGTACCTGCTGAGTTATGCCTCCAGGCCTTTCAATACATGTGCTAGTGACCAATCTTCCGTGTATGTCTGAGCATACGTTGTGTACTGTTCCGCTTTATATTTAACTTCTTTGTAATCCTCAGACACTTCTGAAGGAGTCGCTGGAGTGACAGTTGAGGTTAATTCTTTTACTTGGTCCTTTTTTGCTGAAAGGGATTGTAAGTGGATTGTAGCATCCCAACTATCTTCCCTGTCTCTAGTAATTGAACCTGACTGACCCTAGTGCATATTATGTAATTTTTTTCCCCAATAGCTTTTGCAATTTTGAGGGAGTAACCTGGAGGAGGGTGGAGGCTGAAGTAGTGCATGAATTGATTTTAAATTTATCTATTCCTCCACTGTCGACTTGCTTGAGTTCAGTTCCAGTGGTGGTATTGTGCCAAAAAGAATAGATGCAAAATCTGTGGGTGTTTTTAGTGCGTATGAGGCATTCCCATTTTGCTTGGATGTCGAGCAGTTTATATTGCTCGGTGATTTGTTTATCTTTCAGTCCAGTGTAGTACCATATAATCTTGCAAAAATGACCACTCTCAATTTTGGTACCAGATCTGCTTCAAGGAGAGCAACGGGCATGTAACAGCC